TTGGTTGTGTTGGGTTTGTGTGTGTTTTGTTGGTTTGTGGTGGGGGGGGTGGGGGGGGGGGTGTTTAAAAAATTTTATTATTGTTACCCTGTTCAGGCTGCAAAACTATCACACAGCCCAAGCGATGAAATTTCAGTGCTTTGAAGAGTAAATACGTAGCATGTCTTCCCCCTTCCCCCTCACCCCACTGCATTGCTTTCCTTAGAAGAAGCAAGATCAGCATGGAAATCCAGCGCTGTGCACAGTGGAGCACTGGTGCCTCGCCTGTCCGTGCTAAACACAAGGGTTGCAAGGAGGTAGGACGGGAGATGATAACCATCACCTACCTTTACATGTCCAGCGGCATGTCTGCTCTTATTTGAGAGCTCCACCACAGCTGCAATCACTCCCAGTGCCAGGCCAATGGCAAGAGTAAGAAAGAGCCCACCCAGAGCCTGGGGCTGCAGCGGACTCCATCTGTCCCTACTTTTGTGAAGGCAGCTGGTCTCCCACCACTTGTTGCGCAAATAGTCGAGATCGCCCGATTCGCGCAGTTTGAGGACAGCAATGGAGAGCTTCTTAGTCCACAGGGATGCTGGCAGCAGTAGAATGAAAGAGAGAGAAGAGCATGGGAGAGATCACAGCCACTATAACATTTTTAAGCAATCCGCTGCTATACTACCACACGGGCTTAGCTGGGTGCTGCTTCCCAACTTTCAGATGGTCATTCTGCAAACAGAATGCAACAGACTAAGCCAAGTGCTTTTCTTTGGTAACAACCATTCCTGCCCTGTCCACAGAGATATGATAATACTTGCAGTGTAACGACACCGTGAAGGTACTTTGAGAAAGACAAGCAGTCGTGCTCTGCAAGAGAACAAACTGCCTGCCCTGTTAACTACATTAGGAGCTCTGCATTACTGGGACCAAGGCAAAACCAAAAAACCCCACAGGAACCAGTGACACCCCTGAGAGTTGGAATTTTTTGCATATTACAGTTCAAAGTAAGAGTCAGTGAGTGCTAGTGGTAATTCATCTACAGAATGAAAACGTAGCATAGCAGGGTTGCCAATTTGTCCATACTAGATTATTAGTGCTAATGCAGAAAATGCGTGCAAGTTTCAGGACTCGGCTATGCCAGGCTTTTTGCTCTGTCAGTCTGCTACTTCAGACCCATGAAATCCAAGTGGAGAAGTGGGACAGAAGCGGTGCACAGTGACTAACCCTGGGTAGTGGCAATGCCAAATCCTCTGGCTCCGATAACTTCAGGGGCCCTGATCAAATTGCAGTGCCTGGCAGCTGCAAGGTCTTGAGAGATTGATTCACCAATGAAGGCATAGTTTGATTCCATCACACGTTGAACTGCTTCCTGGTAGGTTTTGACTAAAACGCGATCTCGTCTCTTGTCCATATATTCATAGATCATCTGATGGATAGGATTCTTGGAGTTCTGCGGCCCAAAAATCCAAGTGTCAAACTGAAGTGTAAAACAATCATCTAAAAAAAATCTGCATAGATGTGCAGTGGTTGCAAAACAATTTGGAGAATAAGAGTACTTAAACCATTGCCCTTTGAGCTCAACAAGGCCAAGTGCCGGGTCCTGCACTTGGGTCACAACAACCCCATGCAGCGCTACAGGCTTGGGGAAGAGTGGCTGGAAAACTGCCTGGAGGAAAACCTGGCAGTGCTGGTCAACAGCCGGCTGAATATGAGCCAGCAGTGTGCCCAGGTGGCCAAGAAGGCCAACGGCATCCTGGCCTGCATCAGAAATAGCATGGCCAGAAGGAGCAGGGAAGTGACTGTTCCCCTGTATTTAGCACTGGTGAGGCCGCACCTCGAGTGCTGTGTTCAGTTTTGGGCCCCTCAATACAGGAAAGACACGGAGGTGCTGGACCGTGTCCAGAGAAGGGCAGCGAAGCTGGTGAGGGGCCTGGAGCACAAGTCTTATGAGGAGCGGCTGAGGGAACTGGGGTTGTTTAGTTTGGAGAAAAGGAGGCTGAGGAGAGCCCTCATCGCTCTCTACAACTGAAAGGAGGTTGTAGTGAGGTGGGTACTGGTGTCTTCTATCAAGTAACTAGTGATAGAACAAGAGGAAATGGCCTCAAGTTGCACCAGGGGAGGTTTAGATTGGATATTAGAAAAATTTCTTTACCAAAAGGGTTGTCAAGCATTGGAACAGGCTACCCAGGGAAGTGGTGGAGTCACCATCCCTGGAGGGATTTAAGAGACATATAGATGTGGCGCTTAGGGACATGGTTTAGAGGTGGACTTGGCAGTGCTAGGTTAACAGCTGGACTTGATGATCTTAAAGGCTTTTTCCAACTTAAATGATTCTATGATTTTGTGATTAAATATTTCCCACCCCCCAAACAACCTCTGCAGGCATCCAGTTAACGTATCCAGAAATTACCTACATCAGTCCTTGTGTTCAAGGTACACAAGGATAACCCCTGAAGACTAGCACTGCTTTCTTAAAAGACAATACACTATAAATATACAGTTCTCCACATGCTTTTCTCTCTGAGAAAAGGTGGAAGAAGAGGTGAACAAAACAACAGATACCAATCACATTATTTGAAGTATTACAGGAAAACTGATGGAGTCTACAGTGATGAAAGTGGTAAAAGGACCTATAGGCACGAGCTGGACAACTTGGCCCCAGCTTAGCAGTTCTACGGCACGTGTGTATGTGCACAATGACATTCTCTGCACCTTGAAGAAGTAGAAAGTAGAGGAGCCGTCCAGAGTCCCAAACTCAAGCTTTCTTTGCTTCACAAGATCTTCAAAAGTCTGGATTGGAAGCTGCTCGCTGCCAGAGCTCAGCAGAGCGGTGAAGTTGGCGATGTAGGCAGCCAGCAAGGCGATGGTGAACAGCCACCAGACAGCAGCGATGACCCGCACAGAGAGCGCTTTGGGCCGAGGGGTGACACCTGCACGACCAGAGGAGCCGATAAAACGTATGGGAGGTGATGTACGGTGAGAGAGAGCAAAGAACTTTAGATCCATGAGCCTAACTTAGACTTCCCTCTAAATAAAGGCCAAACTGCAAAACTTGCCCTGCAGCTACTTCATGCATGAGCCTGAAAAAACCTACTGTGGCTGGTTTGAACTGCATCAGCACTGCATGTAATGCAGAGTTGAAGCAATGTCAGTACCCAAAAGCAACATCAAACAACTCCACTCTACAAAGCACCAGTGCGATGGTTAGCTTGACGTTCCCTAGAGCTATTGTTACAGCAGAAAATATACATTCCTCAAATGAAGCCAGCCATCTGTACACTTCCAACAAGTCTGCAGTCAAAACTCCACAAATGGGCAGTTTTAGTGCTGCCAGGTGTCCCTATTGGAACATCTTTTCCCCCAACAGGATAGCACACCAGTGTTACAGACAGATGAGAGGTGGATATACAATCAGCTTAAAAAACCATACTGCTCCCAGGGCTGCTTTGTTGCAGTCCTCCCAGCTCACCTTGCAGGGCAAGTGCTCCTGCTCCAAACCAGAGGCTGTTCAAGAAGGTAAAGTGGTTCTCTTCATTCTTTGGCTCGTTCCATTCACAGGGGCTCAGTCTGTGGGAAAATGACAGGATAAAACCAGACATTTGGGGGGGGGGGGGATTATAAACAATCCTGCAGTGTGACTGCAGCCGTGCAGATAGCCTGGAAATGCCCTTTCCTTTCCATGGCAGCTTCTCCTTCACCCGAGTTCCAGTTTAACCAGTGCAGAGGAAAGTACTCCTGCTCAATGCCTCAAGCAGTTTGCAACAGTGATGGCTCAGGGGGTCCAGTCACAGGTTTGCCAGACACTTTCTTCCTGAGCCACTGCATGATCTAGTCTCCCTGGCACACCTGACTGGCGATATTGGCTCTGTTCCATACTATCAGACTGAAGGCTGCTCCTTGGAGCAAATCCTTACCTATAAAGATTGTGCATAAAAATAGAAAAGGAGCAATAGAGCTTCTGTTCAAGACTGCAGCTGCAGAGAGCATTAGTGCAGCCTAGTTGAGAAAGGGGGAGAAAGCTGAATCTCCTGGGAAGGGAGTGGAGGGGTGGCAGAGAGAATCTCTTCCACAAGTCAGTGCAGGATACAGTGCATAAAAGCACACCAGGAGAGAGACTTGCATGACAGAACATGGTCATAGTTCAAAACAAACTCTGATAAAAGTGAGAAAGAAGAGCTGAAGTACAAACACACAGTCCTTTTAGCAACCCTAGGTAATCCGCATAAAGAGATATGGTGCTTTTCGTGGGGAGATCCTGCTCTCAATGCTGTCTTAGTCTGACATGACTTAAGCTTTATTAGCCCTGGTTCTGGACCTGTACAGAAGGTTCTTCAAAGCAAAATGCTCCCTGGTACTTCCTTTAAAACTGAGATCTGACTTGAACAAAATCTGTGAAACAAATTCATTTATACCTGGCAACAAGAAAGAGGCAGAAGCACGTCAGCACATAAGCAAATAAAAGGCCAGTCCAGGTCTCTTTACTGAAAGGAGCCAGGAAGTGGAAGAAAGACATCTCCTGAGAGGCAGTGTCTTTTCGAAGCAAGATTCCAATCCCGGTCTGCAGGAATGGCGTAGTGAAGGAGATGACCTCTTCCCTTGCTGACGTGACTGTCAATGGAGCCACTGCAATGTCTGCTTCCTTTAAGATGGAGATAAAAAATAATCAACCATCCAACCTACCTGAAGATTTCTGTCACTCAAATAGAATGCTTCCCAGGCTGAGTGGGCACATATCTGCATATCAAATCCCTTCTCTGTGTGAACAGACAGCTATCATCTTAGACTGTGAGCTCCAAGAAATAGGACAGTTTTCCATTTTGCATTGTTCTTAATGGGGTGCTGGTTGGTATCTGGGGCTTCTGGTTTCCTACTACAGCAACACACACACACAAGCTGAGGCTGTGCACCATGAACCACATTGGGTTTGTTTACCAAAACCAGAAGGTATGTTCCTTTCTGTTTCTGGCTGCAGCAGCTACATGACTGACAGCTGGACATATGACTGACTTCAGAGGAGCAAAGAAGGTTTAGTTCAAATGTTACCAAGAGATGACAGAACGCTAGCCATAGGGAATGGCACCTGATGGGGTAAGATGTGCATTCAGGCATCTCCTTGAAGAGTCTAAGGGGTTACCATTCTGAAAGAGACAAGTTTCACCTAGTGGTTAAGTTCAAGGTAAGTTTTCCTTAAAGCCATTATCTTTGTTTCATTAGTGAGCTAAGATGCCTGTACAGTCTCTAAGACTACAAAGAAACACTGGGTAACCTCTGAGACAACACAAGCACTGCACCAGGAGCGCCTTGTTGTAACAATGATTTCCTGCTGTGGCCATTGTCTCCTTGTTCCTTAGTTTCCATATTTGTAGGCCAAAACCAACTACAAGTCTCGCTATTCATTAGTTCTACACAACAGGCAGGATGACTCCAAGTTGCGCAGTCCCTGAGCAAATCCTAACGAAGCCTGAGAGCTGCTAGCACCGTTCTTTCCTTCTAGAGCTGCAGTTTGTCAAAAATAAATTGAAAATTACCTGTCTCAAAATTTCACCAACCATCCCTGTCCAGTTCCCATTGGAAGAGATGGCACCATACTGCCCATCGCTCACCACCTTCACCTTGTAGCTGAAGTGAAGCATTGCAGCAAGTGCTTTCAGCAAATCAATGCAGTATCCCTCCAGTTCTGCACTTCTCACCATGACATAAGGATCTTCCTGCATATTGAGGGAAAAATACACAATTACACGCTCCCACAGTCTGCAGTGCAACTGACTGTGAATTAAACCGTTTTTTTGGCAAACCCTCCTCAAAGACCTGTACCCACATTATCAGGGGGACAACATTTCCAAACCTGAGAGACATTCACTGCAGTCATGTGCCACCACTAGTCATAGACTACAGCTTCAGCAGGGCAGTCTTGACAGAGCAGTGATTTATAGAAGTGTATGCCCAGTCCATTTTGTGGGCTGACTTTGGTAGCCCTCAAACCCTCCCATTGCAAACTCCAGACAGCTTGCACCTCTACACCACTGAGCCAGTGCTCCAAAAACACTCTCTGTGATGAACAGGGATATCGGTGTCAAAGACAGCCCAAAAAACCACCTGCAAATATACGGGTGGAAAAAAAGGCAAAGTGTAATTCCAGCTATCTCCCTGCCGCTATCAGTGTTGTGTCACTGCCTTACCAGGATTGTTGTGACAGTCAAAGTTGGAAGCCCCTCTTCTGGTCCCCTTGAGTCAATGCCCTGCAAATCAAAAAATGAAGAAGAAATAATTGGATTTGAAAGTCCCATACATGGCCCCACTTAGCTAGGGCTTACATTTGAACTTGGGGTGGATGTCGGGGGGGTTTGTGCACGTGTTAAACCAGCTATAAATCTGCCCCTGTAAGATGCAGCAATCTCACCACCATTGTTCTCTAACAGTAATAAAAGCATTTCACTTTATTGCATGTTGCCGGCATACTCTGTCCAAATAAAAATCACTTTAAATGCTGTTACAATTCTTCAGATACTCAGTGCATACAGTCTTCCAAAGAGATCAATTCATGTTGCAGACAAAACAATTAGCAGCCAATTAAGGTCTTATTAGAGAGCAATTCCAGGAGACACAGAAGAGTAGGAAACCCAAGAGGAAGAGGAGAGGAAACATGGATTCACTTCTGCACAGAACGCTGAATTCAAGAGTACATCTTCCAGCCTTACAGAGTCACACAACTCGAGGTGATTTCTGATCAGTACTACTTTGGAACAATTCCAGCTTTTGCCGGTAAAGCAGTCTAATTCTGTAAGATTTGTTGGTCTTAAACGTATCCCTTTATTCTAAAATTACACAGTGATGTTTCTAGACAGAGTGAGAGAACATGGGTGTGTGTGTATCTGTGTATATATATGTATGGACATATGCAGTACAAGATCTGCAAACGAAGCTCCATTTATTCCGGGAGCAGAATGATCTTCTTTCAATTGCAAAGGAAGGATTTGAGGGATGAGCTTTGTCTTTGAAGCACTGATCAGAAGTTACCTAATGCAGAGTGTTCTGGAAGGAATGTTGTTATTGCCAGATAAGCTACAATTTGCTCTTAGACAAAAGCAAAAAAGTCACATTGCTTTTCAGTTCTGTTTAAAATATTTATGCCTACTGAACAAGAGGATGAATAAAACAAAAAATCCTGGCCTATCCCTCTTACTCAGCTTCACCCACTAGTTATTGAAGGTCGAAGTGGTTCTTAAAAAAAATAATCTCAACAACACACTACAACTTTTGTAAATATACCAGAAAAGTATTTTATTGGGCAAAAGTTGCAGGGTTTCAGTAGCAGGAGGGTGGGTAGGGGCAGCACAGGGGTGACGTCTGCAAGAGGTCACAAACTGCCCAGTGCTGGACACGGCCATTTCAAGCTGGCTTAGAAATGAACAAAACAGACCCACAGTGCACCAAACCTGAATGAATCAGACAAGGTTAAAGACGTTTTTTGCATAGGCACCATAAAAAAGGGTGGTAACTGCTGGATGAGAGACAATGCTAGAGCAGGAAGAGACACTGAAGACAATATCAGGGCAGGAAAGTTGCCCAAACAGGGTCAAAGGAGAAATAAGAAAGCTACCAGAGCAGGAGGGACGGTAGAGTGGAAGAAAGGCCAAAGAAGAAGAGCCGCCCCAAGCGAGAGCAGGAGCGCAAGAGCTGCCCCAAGGAGGGACAGAGAGGAGATGCAGGAGGAGGTACAACTGTAACAGGGCAGCAGTCAGTGGAAGAACCTGCGCAGGAGCAATTGAGTAGGAACCACACAATATAGAGCCCAATCTCCTGTGCGACCTTGTTGCCTCACCAAAGGGACTGAGTATAAAATGCGTGCAACGAGGGGACTGGAGACCAGGAAGAGGGGAGGACAAGAGAGGAATTGTGGTTTTCTGGGTTTTTTTTTTGTTTGCTTGTGTTTATTTCTCAATGCTGGAATCAACAATTGGACATTTATGCCAATTGAAGCTGATTGAAATTCCATGACTTTCCCAAAAACTCTCTTTTAGGCACATGACAGGCATCCAGCATGCTTTGAGATTTGAGAAATGAGCTGAGATTCACATGATACAAGTTCTGTCTCTACTTATGCCATTTGGACAATTAATTTCATTTCCCAATGTTACTATAACCAACTTTCCCATCGTTTTTGACTGGGAAGCCTGTATGACAAATACTGCATTATGTGAATATATACGTGTTCTAGCAGGTTAGATTTTATGTGGCATTTGCCATCTTTCTTCTAAAGCCTGAGGAATTATGTCCCACACAGACCCTTTTTGTGTTAAGTGCAAGCTTTTGGAAATAAAACACACATCCTAAGAACTAATAAAGATATCTCTGCATGTCCGTACGTGTCTGAATTTTTTAAGTTTATAAAAGTCATAAGTGACACAATAAGTCTGAGGTTTAAACTCTATAAGCCATGAAGACAGGGCTATATGCAGGTTCTTCCTTGAGGCATGACTGAATTTTGAATTCTGGGCAAAAGACTGAGTAAAAAAAAGCATAGACACACAGACTTAGGTATGGCCATCACTAGCCATGAAAAGTACATTTAAAATAATAACTCTTCACAGATTAAAAGCATTGCACACTATGATCACATCTATTTCTGCATTTAGAATGTAAGTCCTTTTACACATATGCCTTCGTTAGTAGCTCTGCATCAATGAACTTAAACATACCTTACTCACAGCACCATCATTCCTCGTAGCTCCTGAAAAAACACAACAACAAAATCAACTTCTTGCAGGGCTTATATTTACAGCTCCTTAAAAGTGAAGTTTCATACCCTCATTTCATATTGCACTTAAATAAACAAAATCATTATCCTTGACTCACAAGCTCATAGTGCAGTCGACTTGCAGCGCTTTTGTCAAGTTTGTTTCCTTATTCACAGCACAGTAATAGTGAAACAAACAGAAGCAGAAGTAGACACCACTAAATTCAGGCTGCAGAACGTTCTAATTGTAACCTAATGATTACGGCTGTCACTCGCACATTGACGAATGGACTCTGCAGAATCAATTACCTTATTTCCTTATTGCCCTCCCTGACAAGGTGAAAAGCCAGCTCTCCTGCTGCTTCACACAACTAAGATTTCCCCCCTAACTCCTGCAAAACCTTGTCTATATCCCTAAGGAAAAGCCTTGTAAACAACCAAAAGTTCATCACTATTAAGTTCCAAGACAGTAGGTTTTCTTCTTCTTCTTCCCTTCCCCTACTAATGATAGGTTCCTACTGTCAAAGCAGCCAAAGGGGTTGCAACCACTGGGGTAGAAACCTTTCTCCACCACGTCCTGCTCCGTTCCCCCCTCAAATTATAAGTACCCTGACTTTTCATTCCTGTGAAGATTAAAACCTCCAAAAGGGCCATGACCAAAACCAGGAACCAACAGTGGCAGCGCTAAAGAAAGAGGGACCAGGAAGCCTGTCTTGTGTTGCCTGTTCTCTGTATCCCATCAAGGAATAGAGAGTAAGGAAAGTACATAAAATTGACAAAGAATTGAGAAAGAGTTCAAGTGTGATGAGAGCCAGTGCAACCCTGTAGACAGCACTGGCATAAACATGAAATGTCAAATTGTCAAATCTGCTATTGACCTTTTCTGGATTACTTCTCCTTCCTGTGCCTCGGTTTCCCATTTGTAAAACCAAGGTAAAGATACTCCCCTCTTTGGTAAAAACACCAAGACCCACCCATAAAAGTACTATTATTGAGGTTAGTCGTTCTTCTGGGTTCTACTCTGTGCTCTGCTGTGTGACTTTTAACAAGACCTGTTAAATTATTTGACCCACAGCTTCCCTGTTCATAATACTCAGGAGAATACCTCAATCCCACCCCAGCTGCAAGAGAGCTAAACTACAATGACTGAGATGCAGAATTAAAACCACAATTGTGTCAATATGTGACTCATTAATTGCCCAGGATGTTTGTTCTGGAATGTGCAAAGCATTGCTCCTTGGAATCAAAGAATTCACAGCACAAAAGCCAAAAATCCCTCAAGAGAAAACAAAAAATCTAGGGTGTTTTCACTCTTTCAAGCAAAAGCTGTGAGTTTTTCATGAAATATAACAACATATTCATTCATTATGTGTTATTCGTTCTTTGGTTTTGCATTTTCTGGCCTTGTGCTGAATTCTACATTATTGTAAAACAAAACCTGTTTTTTCCCTCTCCACTATAGTTCTCCATGGGAGCTGGAAATCTTCACAAAGGAGTTCTCTTGTCTCCCTTTAGAAGCTCATTAAAGCCAGTAAAAGCTTTTTGAGGGTCCTTTTTGAAGACCTGCTAGGGTTTCTTGGAAGAAAACAGTCTGTACTGAGGGCTTCAGCTCCCCTACAGTGGCTCTGGATGCAGCTGTTCAAAGCCCCATTGTAGGAACTCCTGAAAGGACCATCAGTAATCAAGTTGCAGCACTAACTCAAAGTTCATTGCAGTGACACTGCTCAGAAGCCAAGTCCTCATTGTGAGAATTCTCTGTGAGAGTCTACAAAAACGTAAGACAAAGAAAAGAGGCTCATCCCTCCACTCCCATTCCCCACAGGCCGGTGGTTGCAGGAAATGACTGTGGCTGCAAAAATCAGCCTTGTCCTTACCCCTTCTACTCTGAGCATACCCAGCCTTCTAAGGGGAGATGGCTCCCTGCTTAACTTCTTGTGAAAAAGCTTGTAGCACTCTGAAGAACTGGCCAACCTCACCCCAATTTTCTACCCCATCCTCCCTCTCTAGGCTAGTACCCTCACCGTTGCGTCCTTTGCCAGCATTTCCCCTTTTGCAGCTTGTGAGCAGGAGGGAGAGCTGAACTAAAATAAGAGGTGATGGGTCAGGTGGATTACAGTTTTGGAGTACGCTGGGACATTCAGGATGAGGGAATTCTCAGTATGAGAATTTGACCATCATTACAAAAGCAAACGGCTGAAGTATCTGTAATCTGAGGTGAACTGCTGCTACCATAGCTATGCAGTTACCAGTTCTGGGTAGACAGGAGATGGGTGTGCGAGATGGACAGGAGATACAGCAGAAGAAGTGAAGTTGCTCTCCCAACCCTCTGAACCAATTTTTATCTCCCAGTAATTTTGCAAGGTCAAGCTACTCCTTAGCCTGAGTCTGGACTCCAGGTATAGAACACCAAAAAGCCACAATAAGATTGAAACAACAGCATTTGTTGTTCAGTTGCAAAAGCAAGCTTCCCAGCTCCTCACACCAAGAGCAAAGCGTGATCCAACTGGCTGATCGCTGTGCACAAGTCCCCAGCAGGCTCCTGCTACTGTCCCTTAGGAACTTCAGGGGGAACGTAGCGTTACCATTTGGCTACAAAGTCTGGATGCTCACAGAGCTGACAAGTTCAATGCACTAAATCCCTTCTTCCCAAAACACGCCACGAGCAGAGGGGCTAAACAAGTAACATGGAAAATATTACTCACAGAAGAACAAGTTAATCAGCGTATCTTGCTGCAATTCAAGGGACCATAGACTCAAAAGAGTGCAGCTTTAACCACAATAATGGTGTTCCAGGACACCTAACCACCCTTTTTCTAGGCTTTCTTATTTTCCCTGATCTCTGTCACCTGATTTACAACTATAGCAGCAAAACCACTTAATAACAGCACTCATCATAAAGTCACAATCACAAGCTGTTAACTAGGTGGGCCTTGGTGGTGTCTTAATAACCAATTTACAAGAAAAGTCTTAGATTAAGGCAAAATCCTGTAAGCACTAGCAGTTAAAGACTGAGAGAATTAACACTCTGTAAAGAAGAACAAAACCAGATTTGGATGCAGCCAGCATTTTCAGATCATTTTTCTCACCTGTCTGACTTGATTCTCTCAGGAGCAGCATGGTTGCAATCACGCAGAACATGAAGTGAAGACCTTTATCCATGGGGGCAGAAAGATCTACTGTCTAAAGGAAACTTCCTGCTAGAGATGAAAGGCAAGTAGTTAAAGCTGGTTGTACAGTTCCTCATTGCTGTGTTAAAATCAGCATGTCCTGGGTTTTCTGCACCTCATTCTGAAGAGTCCCAATTCAAAGGTCTCCAGGTGAAAACATGGTCCCTTCTGAGACCAGCCATAACAAATACTAAGGAAAAGGTTTTGGTGAACAGTTTGCTGCAGCGAAAAGGAAGTATCCAACCTATCCAGTGGAGGTATCCACTGGTTGTTGCACTGTTTCTCTTGCAGTCAGCTCTCCACAAAGGAAGGAGAGCTGTGCCACGATCAGTGTGCCGGCTCTGGAGAGAGGCAGCTGTAGGTATGTGCAGTAACAAGGGGCACACACTCATGGGTTCCCAGAGAAAGGAAAGAACTGAAGCAGACTGCTCCTGAGTACTAGGTCCTTACGCTCTGAGAAATGGGAAGGTGCTATTAAAGAAATTTTGGTAGCCAGCTGAGGCACTAATAAACCAACCTCCTCCAGGAGGTTCTCATTTGGGGGGCTTAAAAGCAAAACCTTAATTTCACTTTTCATTTGGGTTGCAGAAAAGAAGGGTGTTTATTTCACTTGCACTAAAATGATCTGAAACAAAGCTGTTTCACCTTGCATCAAGAGATATGAGAAACTGTTTCTGAAGCCCTCTTTTGTTTCAACCTCCTACTCTTAACTGAACAAGGCAAAAGGGGTAGGGGGGAAGAGGGTAAAACCCAGCATATTTAGTAACTTTTTTCATTTCAAACTCTGCAACGAAATTTCTGCATGGCTTGAAATAATTGTACATTTTTCATTGTAAAACAGCAACAGAACTATGAAAAACAAACAATGCCAGGTTATATTAAGTCTCAGGCTGCTGCAATAGTTTTGATTGTATTTGTCATCATAGTCTCAAACACGGTTCAGGACACCATTAGCCCAGAAGCTATAAAAACTGTATTAAAAATGCCAAAGAAAACTTACCATCTAGGAGACTATGTAGGCAAAAAAATCCTACATATGGTGTTAATTGCTTCTGATTGATGCTCAGAAAACACTGGCTTCAGTTAACCTTAGCTTATCAAGTTTTATGAAATTTTCCCCAAATCTGCACTCCTGTGAAAACTCTTGACATTACAGCTCAGTGGTTTCCCCTCACTCATTTTCTCAGAACAGTGAATAAAATTTACACAGAAGATTCTTTCTGGGTTAATTTTGTTGTTGTTGTTGAAAAAAAAATTCAAAAGGGGAATACTTTGATCCTTGTGAAAGGACGAAAGGAGAGGACTGACATTTGAGTTATGCATCAGCCTACATTTTCTAAAAAAGTAATTGTAGAATGTAGACAAAGTGGTAGCTACTGTTAGCTGTTGCCACAGCAGCACATGAACTGGACAGCTAAATCATCCACCAGGGCACATAAAGGAAAAGTACCAGCAGTCTTCAGGTTGAGCCAATGAGGAACTACGTTTTTCCTGAAAGATTTAACCCGTCAAATTACTGCTACTTTTTCCTTACAATTCGGTACCTACTACAAAATGATCTTTATTTCAAGTGGCCTCCTTCAAAAAAAGCTAATAAGAGCTGGTAATACATTGCTTGCATCACCTTGAAAAGAAAGAGTTGTTAACACACTGGCTGCTGACTGTCTAGAAGAACAAAGAGAGTGTAAATATGTGCAAAAAGAATTTTTGCAAAGGCTAATCCAGTTCCCTAGCTCCAATTTAGTACTAGAGTCATTTAAGGACAAATGGAATCAGTTAGAGAGAGAATAATGGGAGGGCAGAGGGGATTAGTGCCTCCCAGTGTGTAAAGAGTTCCTTAGATACAGCTTAAATTAATCGTTGCGATAGCCATTCACCATCTACCTGAGGAGGTACTACAAAGTTTTCTCATGCTGGCTTTACAGCAAAACAAACTAAGGATTTTAAAAGTTACTTTGCCAGAATCAGCTCTCACTCCTCAGAAGGTTTTCGGTCTTTCAAAATGTAAACAAAGACGACAACATCACTCCTCAACCAGTCTTCTGTACGCTGTGCTGAAGGAAGGCATCAGTATTAAAACAGCAGCAGCAAAGATGAACAACCATCAGCTAGGAAGGAGACAGCCTGTTGCACACAGGCTTTGATCCTTGTCATCTAGAACAAGAACAGCAGTGACTGAAGGCAGTATCTCACTTACAGCGATTCCTTTAGCCTCTCCTAGTTCCGTTTGTTTGACTGGGTACTAGCAGAAGCAACGCGATGAGCAGGCACAATGAAACTGCTGGAACACTGAATGCTCACAGGCATTCAACACTATTATACAGATAAAAGAGAGGGAGGAGCCAGGCTAAGGGGCTTCTGCAGGACATGCCAGCTCGTCCTGCAGACTCTAGGGGCACCTTGGGTTTTGGGAAAGAGAGGAGGAGACTACACCCAGCAAAAAGACAATATTTGCAAGCAGTTGATCCAGCAGCTGAATCCAGCCACTAAGGCTCAGAAAATACTATTACTGGCTTGCTGTGTGGTCCTGTAAAGTCCTCTTTCTTTAGAATAATGTCCTATCAAGCTGTGCCCATCTCTCCTGTCTACTGATAGCGTAAGCTGCTCAAGACTTTCTCTACTCTGTGACTGTCTTGGAACATCAGCTGGGGGACTCGTGTATAACACCAAAAAACCCCCAACCTCCCAAACCGTTACATACCTCTAGTATTTCCTCGCAATGTCCAGACAACTGAAGGCAGGCCTGAGCTTTAAGGTAAACCATTAAATCCCTCTCTGGATTGTACAGTGCTCTTTAATACACAGGCACAGAAGTGAAATTCCTGTCCCCTTCATCCTTCCATTTACTAGTTTCACTTCAAAAGTGAGCTAAAGTACAACGCTGCCAAGTGGCCGATTCTGTTGGGCCAGGTCATTTATAAATACACACTTCTAGGCACTGTAATAACAAAGAAGCACCTTCAGAGGAATTCAGCAGAGTAAGCCGTTACAACTCATCCTGCGTCCACACTTAAGTAAGGAACAAAAATTTACTCCCTACTTGACTTTAAGCACTGTTCAAGATGGAAAACTCTCCAGCAGCTTGCACATCTTGCCCGCCTTTCCCTAAGCTTTTTCTACAGATGCCACTATGCCACTGAGTAAATCAACTATTAAACATCAACACAGCTTGCCTTCTGCAGTCAAAAATTGCTTACATTTCAATAAAAAATGCTTAGAAGACTGCATTTGGTGAAGCTTGCCCTAACAGAGTTCAAGGGCTTGACTCATAGCTCACTGCAATTAAGGGGAGTCCTTAGATCACTTTTAATGCACTTCAGGCCCCAGATGCTCTAAATCATTCTTGAAATATGAATTATGGCAAGATGCTAAGATATGTCATAAATTATAATTACATCCTCTCTATAGGACAAAACAGAAAAAGAATCCAGAAAGGTCTATCCACCTTGGATTTCTCTCAGAGGCTTTGACCTGCTGAGAGGTTCATTTCCACGTGCTACCTTTGGTAGTTTGAATGTGATTTGTTCTTCACATTCTCACCTGATAGCTATGCCCTAGAGATTCTGGCAAAGGGCTGCATGTAGGGGGAAGTTAGCAAAAATCAGATTAGCTCAGGTTTCCAGCTGCTTTTCATGAATATTTTCAAGGCTTTAACAAGGTACACATTATGGTATGTGATTTTTCACAGCTGGCAGCTACCAAGGGCTGATAAGCTCAATTACAAGCAGCTGAAAGCATCTCAGCACAGGCAAAATCAGTTTTTAAAAATACAATCAAATGTTCACCATCAGTGTTCTTAAACACTAAGCTGGAGGAATACAAACCATAAATCCCAAGTCCAACCACTTATAATACACTGCTTGTAATTTGGAAACTTTGGACTTCTAATCTTACAGTTTAATGAGCTGAAAAACACATACGAGAAGAAGAGCTCTGGACAAAGGAATATAACTTGCTGTCTCTGTACAAGCCAGCAGGAATAGATAGAAAATGGGCTTTCAAGTGTTCTCACATGTTAGTAGAACTCCCTTACCCACACTGCCTTTCTCTCTATCCTCATCCAGCAGTTTAATCATCGGACTATCAGACCTATCTCAGTAGCTTTTCAGTCAGTCACTGACCTCCGTGAAGAATAACGATTTCAACTGCCCTTCTGAGCTCCTTCACACCTGCAGCCAGGCTTTTGTTCCATTGCATACATCCTGAATGGAGCACACAAGAAATCATTGTGCTGTATTAGCAAGTGACTCTGGCCTAGATTTGGATGCCTCTTAAGGATTTCTAATCCTGTTGTACTACAGGTGCGCAATTCTAGTAAAAATTTGCAGCTACTATATGGCAAGCAGTGATTAACGCAGAGTGAATGCTACTGCCTTAGCAGATGGCATGTACTGACCACTGTGGTTTCACGCTCAACCTGTGTCTACAAGGTATTTGCCCGCAATTTCACATGGAGGAGGGAGAATCTGCTTCTTCATCTTGATTATCATATGAATGGTAGAGAAGATCATCAAGAAAGTAAGAGCAGTGAGGCATTCGTAAAATGAAAATTAGTGCTGCTTGGAACCTCAACTCCTGACTCCCTCCACTGTTACTGAATCTTTATTGCTTTCCTTACCATTTTAGATAGCACCTTCCCCACTGAGAAGATCTGAATAAGCAATTTTCCTCTTCCCCGATGAAGACCGGATGAATGAAGAGCAAAATTGCATAGTAAGCTTCTGCTACTCAACAGTGTAGGTACCATGAAATAAATTCCATTCATAGTAATGCACATCATTAATGGTCTTATGTAGTGTAACAAAACAAGCAGTAAAGATAGTTACTATTAATTTGGAAGCAGGAGGGCAAAATTCACATGTACTCCAGTAAGTTAAATCCAGACACCGTTTTTTAAAAATTCAAACAACGATAAAAGTTTTGAAGTGCTACATGATACTGCCTTCTGTGAGGTGCATTAATTTAACAAGTATTGCTTAATCAATTAAAGATAAAAATAATCTGATTGTGAAACTTGGTCTTTGAAAAGACACAAATAGGCCTTTTAAACATTAACTTTCTAAAGCTGTCAAGTTGCATGTACTTTCTTGCTTTAAAGATAAAAAAGCAGCGACGCCCCGCAGCTTTGCAGCCCAAAACTAAAGTATTACAGAGTGACTTTTCGTCTAGAGAATGTTAATGAAATTTGCTTTGTGTTAAGACACAATGTGAGACTAATCTTGGCAGATCACACATTCTGCTGCTGATTTACCTTTTTTTCCTTCAGAGACTGCAGTGATATTGTAGGGTTAGTTCAGTGCATGTTCCAAACCTTTGTTGCACAAACCTCAAGGGCTTCTCATCCAAATCATGAAGACAAGCAATGAAGATCTGAGCCAGGATGGACAACTGAGAGAATATTTTTAGAAAAAACATACTGAAGACCATTTGAAAAGATTTAACCAGAGAATTAAACCCCTCCCAGCCCCTATCTCCATGTCATGATGATATCATTAGCTACAGTGAGCCTTACATTTTGCTATCTCAGAGTTTAAATGCTTGTGGCCAAACGATACTAAAATTAGAAACCAAGAACTCCTTTCTAGTCCCACAACCCACAAGTAAGCTGACAACCCTTCCAGGAGAGAGTATCAACTAAGCAACATGCACTTTCACTGTGCATTTTGCTGGGACAGGAAGAGAAGATATTTTTGAATTGGACAGCTGAAGAGCAAATTTTTGCTGCAGTATTTTCAGCCAGACTTTAAGCAACCTCAGTGATGAAACAGGGCTATCTATCTTATTTAGAGGGCTGTAATAAAATAAATTAGGTCCTTGGATTATGTCTGTTTGGCTTCTAATTACATGAGTTCCCCTAGAATTTTCATCTACAGAGCCATCACTGGCTGCCAAAGACAGACATCAGTTTGAAACAATCCATGTGCTCTGTATCACACAACAACAGAATGCCAGTCTCTACCAATACTTGCATGCATTTTGCTGGACCTGAGAAAATTTGAGCTGGATCTGAAATGGCTACCGCTCTGAAAAAGAGTAAAATTAAATGTTATCCACTAAGGAATTTTTAAAACAAGGCAGATAGAATTAACCATGTTTGTATACCACAAACTTCTAGACAGCATAGAAAAAGTGTGATGTTACAGCTAAAGAGTCAACAGCTGGAAGGTTAAATATGTTTATTTTAGTAGTGTACAGTAGTCTTACAGACAAATTTTTAGATTTTGCAATATACACAGAAGAATCATTACAAACAAAAGCAAAATATCCTCTCAATAATAGAGACTCTATGCAGCCTGAAATAAAATTAAACCTCTGTTTCTCTTTAAAATGCATCTCAGTAAACATTCTTCTCCATCACTGATAAAATGTACATCTATAATAAATGACATAATAATTGGGGGGGAGGGATCACATCCCTAAAACTAAAAAGTAAAAAAATTGGGGAGGAAAAATTATTATTCTGTTTAGGTTGCTATTTAATTCTAAATATGTCCATCTAAAAAAATTAAATATCTCTTTTTTAAAACATATCATTGAAAATTTTGCATGGCAGTGCAATACAGAAATAGTAAAATTCATCCAAAAAGTGCTATATACAGCAGCATTCTTAAAATACCATAAAGAAGGGATGTTGCTGTGTTCAAGAAAAGACTAGCATGCTTTTTAGCCATGTCTGAATTAAAGTCAGAAGATATTCTTGTCTATTTCTAGTAATTCCCTTCCCTCTCCTGTCTCATTCCCACAGATTATATTTTGAGACAAGGAACAGTCACAGTTCAAGTGTGTGCATGTATACATATATGTGCAGACATATATTTGCATACACACAAATGTATATATATATTTATATATATAAACAAGCTTGGTTTATAAAAGCATTGCTTTGGAACATAGTGAGAGCTCTTCTTCAAAGAGTGAGACAATATGGATTTTCACTGAAATAAACAGGTCCATGATGGAAGATGGACTTTACTACATTATTAATTCCCAGAGAAGATACCCTCAGAGGCCTCAAGCTCTTCCAAAAAAATAAAACAGAACAGGGAGCATGATTTTAAATCCAGCCTCTTTTCATGGATCCACAATTTGTAAGAGCAAAATTTACCTTAGCAGTCATTAACATCACATAGATGTTTACCCATTATAAGAAGCAATTACTGAAGTTAGTAAAGAACATGAGATTTGCACAGAGCAAACTGCAAATGCAACAAGTGGTCACACAAAAGGAGGCCAAATTTGAGGCTGGGAAAAGTGTAACAAAAAAAAAAACTGCTGACAAATTTAACGCTCATCTGTTCTTTTGGAGTCATGATATTAAGTATCCTTACAATCAAGAGAAGGCCAGGAAGCACTAAGCCATACGAGGATATTTGTGCCTCTCAGGTCACTACATTTTTTGGACAGGAATGTAAACATTGCCTTATTCAGTGCTCCCCAGAACTACAGTTTCAGCATAAAGAAGACTTCTGTGTCAGTATTAAAATCAGTTTGGTTCTTAGGCTGGGATGTAAACACGGCAGGAGAAGCTATATCCATACAAACTGCTTTTGCAACGCTGCAGGCTCCCTCTGGATTTCCTCTCTCCTCGATGGGACTCCCACTGAGCTGGCCTAGGCTTTGCAGCCGCTGTCTCTCCTGAGCTTGCTTAGCCCTGTTGGCAATGTACCGCACCCTGCTCTGACTGCGAGAGGAAGACCTGCGAAGGAGTCCCAAGCTCTCCCCTTCCTCTTCAGATTCAGTTGGATCGAGACTGATAGGGGAAGTGATGTCATTTTCCTGCTGAAAGGCTGTCAGCTTCTTCAGCTGCTCAGTCAGTTCATCCTGGGATTTGACTGAGGATCTCAGGCCTGAAGAGCGGCGCTGCTCTCGCATTGATCGAGTGACAAAACTCCTGCTGATGCTACGGTATTTGCTTTCAAAAGTGCACACAATATCATCAGAGGTAAGGTCTCCAAGACTCTTGGATTTTGCCTGGTTATTCCCAACCATATCGTGTGCTTTGGATTTGTTAGAAGACTGTCTGAGACTTTCCATGTACAGCCTGCTCCAGGTATGCCTTCTAGGAATGGACGAGAACGCATCCTGAGGGCTCCTGGCAAGGGGACGGGGGCACAATTCATCTGCTGGCAGCTGGCCAGACCTCAGGTTAGGATTGGATTTGCTCTTGCTCACCATTGGCATCTCGTTACCGGATGTTGTAGCAGATCGCGGGCGCATGCCCTTTCTTATGGCAAGGGGCTCAAAATTCTCGTGACGGATGCCAAGATCTGGAAGGCTTTTGCGAGCTAGATTCGGTAGAGAGAGATCTATCACAGTGTCATTGGAGGACATGCTGGAAGAGGAAGACATGCTGTCACGATGATTGCTGCAATCTAGCTTGCTCCAGATCCGGTCATTAACAGTGGCATCAAAGTATACTTCTGCTGCTGGAGACAGGCTACTTGGAATTTTTATTAAGGCTGAGGAGTCTGACATCTTCAGTCCTTCACTCTTTGACCTTCTTACTAACATGTAAGAGCTGGTCTGAGAAACAGGAACAGGTAGAGCCTGGGCTTTCTGGAAGGTGTCTGGAAGCAAAGTTGTCTGTGTGCTGTTAATCGCATTGTTTTTCTGGAGTAGAACAGCTGCTGCACCAATTTTTTTCCCTTTGGATTCAATGGTGCTTTTCATGTCGGCTAATACCTGACCTGGTTGGTCATTTTGCTTCTGGCAGTTTTCACCAGGTTGGCCAGCAGTCTTACCAGCTTCCACTACCAGCCAGGCTTTTTGAGGATGCACTGCCAATCCAAGCTGATCTTCAGCTTTACCGCATGCCTGTGTCCAACCATTTTCCTCCTTGAGACATCCTGCTATGCTTGTCCTCTCATCTTCTTGGACTACTAAACTTGTGTCAGCTGCTCTGGTGACTACCTGCACTTGGTCTTCTGCAGCCAGATTTGTTCTTTGTTCTCTAGTGAGTAGAGATTCTTGAGGCCGGTTGGATGTGCTGCTTACTTCTGATCGAGATTCGGTGGAATGATCAGATACAGACCCTTCTTCAGAATCACTGTAAGGAGTAATGGGTAGAGGGAAGAAAAGGCTGGCACGTTGGTTTTCATTGGCAATAACAGGCTCTTCGGTGATAGTTTCTAGGCTGCATAAAGAAGTGACTGACCTCTGTATTGAGAAATGGCAGGCATCTACTTGGGAGACATGAAAAGATAGGAAAAAAAAGAAACAAGAACAACAGAGATACAGGGTTAATTAGCTATTACAAATTGCAGTTTAGCTGAACATTTATTCTTTATGTTTATCATTTTGTTTTTAAGGTAGTAATTGCATATATTAATCATGATTTTTAAAATAACTTATGTTTTCAAATGCCTGGCTAACGGCGGCAAAAATTTCTGCTCGTTCAGTTTTAGCTGCCCAAAAGCCCTGTTGCTTTCAAAACATCTCAGTCCATGCATAATAGCACCGTGTTACTTTCCTGATTATCTTATTCAAACAACAACTGTATCCATCAATTTCCTTGTGTCCTTTGTGTCTCCTCTCATAAACTAACTTTTCTTCCTCCACCATCCAGCACCACTTGAATCGCTCTTCTCCTTCCTTCCAGCACTCAAACATGTCAGTGTATCAGATCATAATCAGATCACATATAATAATCAGAACATCACTGCCCAACCAACAGTTATGATCCCAATGATCCATTACTCAGAAGAGAAGCAGCATAGGACTCCTGGAGCAGATTACGAATAAAATGATCTGTACGCATACAATGGAATGTAGTCAATATGCCTTTTAAAAACAAGAGAAAAAATTTAAACAGACTAACTCTGTTTTCCTAAAAAAGTTTGTAATTTCTTTTTCAAAAAACTATACAGACGCATGGTTCATGAACACCAGGCTGACAGTACAATCCGAAAGAATCACAACAGCCACCAATTACCTGAAGAAAATGCTCCATCCATCTGCCATGTTTATAACCTGTACCCTAAGAGCCAAAGCCATCATGCCAAAAAGACTATTTCCCACAACTGCAAACCACAATGCAAACATGCATTCGAGAACTAGCAAAGCACCACTGGGCCAGACAACTACCTTAAGAATATAGGAGCAGGTAATTATAAGGCAGGAAACAAACAAAAACCAGGACTACAGGCAACAAGGTGCTTGAATCAGTGACACTCAGTAAACAGTTACCTTTGACTTGCTTGTCCTTTCAGTTCTTAACTAGAGAGAGAGAGTGTGCATGTAGAATAATAGGACAGAACAGAGGAAAAATCCAGTTAATGTAGGGAAGGCAGGTGCAGATAACAGGATAAATTAGTGCTGAGGGAGGGAAGGGAAACAGACAGAAATATTCACACATTTTTGTAAGATCCTAAGAATTTCCGACCAACCAGAGCACTCAATGGCATCCATAAATGGATGGATATTATGTCCATTACTTTGTCATAGAAGAATAAAAAGCAGTTTTTGTTATTGTTCAAGAAATGCACTCCACTGGACTGAGGAATGGAATCTGGCCTCCCCTTCTCCAAAGCCCTCTCCTAATGCTATGGAAAAAAAATCATCTGCATTACCAAAGAATGCCGAGGAAATACCGTGCCTTTCCTTTCAGCACCAGTATTTCCAATCCAGCGTAGTGGCAAGAAGCTTAACAATGGAGACAGCTGTTCAATGGCCTATATTACATTCGTTGGGAGTGTTAAAAGGGAAGAAGGCACATGTGCCCATAAGCAAAATCCACTGTTCACAACACAGCAGACTTTTCAGTATCTGAAGGAGTATCGGGAGGAGTCCAGAGCTGATCAGACTAATGAGCTCTCCTTCTTCCTATCTAGGCTAGGCCATCAGCATAGATTAAGGCACACTTGCAAGGCAAAATGCTGAAACTGTAATGCTGTTGCCGTAAAGGAGACAACTAGAGACTATAGTTTCCTGTCTCATCCTTGTGGCACTTCCCATCAACAGAATGTTAATTATGAAATGCAGCCATATTAGGCTAACGTTACTGGTTTCCTTGGTTTCTTGGCCCAAGGCACTAAAATAGCAGGCAGATGGGGAAAGCATGCTGTTTGTGCAAACATAGTGTTTGTCACTGGATCATCAGCACCCAGTCCAAGTGACTATTTCACCATTTTAAAGGTTTACTGATTCCATGCTTGAGAAGTCAGATGGATTTAATCAAATTTCAAGCATATCACAATATTTATTTAGTGACTTGGGGGGCTGGCGGGGGACCTGGCACTGGTAATGGGAAATGGTTTCATATGTCACACTACTCAGAGCTTATGAAAAGCCTAATGCCAACAATTTGGGCATAGAAAAAGTTCTGCTGCTTTGGATTAGTTTCAAGTCATGGGAACCGGCAAACTTCTCCCCTCCCCCTCCCATTGTCCCGGTATTTTCCTAAAAGCTCAAAGCAGATATTAGAAAAAATATGTTAAAAAAAGACTAAAAAGAGAGAAATTAAGAAAAAATTGGAGGCACTCAACCAGGTTAAATTGATCAAACAAACAGAATATTTTGAATTTCTGTATGAGGTTTTCAAAGATGCCCACTATAGGTGGGCAGTCAGAATCTGTTACTACAAAAGGAATTACTTCTTAAGAAGCACCAAAGTCACTTAACTGTTCCTGAAAAGGTAACCATCAATGTCCAAATTCCTTGGACAATTAAGGGAGGGGGGGAGGGATTTGAAGAGAAGCTCTTGTAGTCATAGACAAAAGCTGTATTTCTTTACTTCCTCTTCACATTTCTATGAAACAGAGAAAATCTTATCAAAATCTCTTCCCTTCCCTCCCCTCCCTACCAAATCAGGATTAAAAAAAAAAGCCAGTCTCCTTATTAAAATTTATACCTTGGTTGCCTCTGTTCCTATTTTCCATCTTTACACACATACAGTTCCTGAGTAAAGATACAGTCACGTGATCCCAGTGACCACATGCATTTTCCTGGCTTGAAACAACCATAAAATGCTGAAGCTTAAGCAGGCTTCTTTTAAATGGACGCATTTTACTTTGCAATTGGGAAATCCTAACAGTCCACCTAGCTTGGCTGATGTCAAGTAACATCAGCTCACATACCTTGCTTCTTTATATTGTGCAACTGTGCCCTCAGGTCACAGTCAAATCACATACATAACATTAAGCAGATCTATAAATGTTTGCATACTAGGGATTTATACATTTAGGACCAGAATGGTCTGCTATGTTCATAAAGTGTGATCTCCTGAATAACCCAGACCAGAGAATTCCATCCAGTAATCCCTGAACTGATGGCAGTAATTTTGCAAGTTCTTTGAGGAAGGAACTGGTTTTATTGTTAGCAGAGTGCACATTAGATATCATTTCTGATGTGGTTATCCCTCAATGAAACACAAATACTGATAATGGAAATACTGTTTGTTAATATGGGTTTCCCATATTCAGTCTCTACTTAATGCTCTGGTTTGGATCTTAAAATTTACTTAGTATCATACCACATTCACTAAAAAAAAAAAACCAAGGAAACAAAAAACCCTGAAGAAACAATCCAAACATTCATGGACTATTGACAGTTTTACTACTGCAGATGGTTAGCTAGGCATGGAAAGGACTAATCTAAACCAGACACGTCTAGGAAAAAAATAAAATAAAAATATTTATGCAGACTTTTTTTCTGTCATTGCCAAAAATAAAGAAAAAGAGTTCTTGATAGCAAAACAACATACAGGAGCTTCTAAGTAAAGATGCTATGCAGAAGCTGAGACAATGATGTGATCTAAGGTGGAGAAGGGTGAAGAAAATCTGGTCTTACCAGTAAAGAATATAGGGGATTTACTTCGAATTTCCTCCAATTTTTGAACGAACAAGGCGTTCATTTCCCTCTGTAGGGTGCCCACTTGCCTTCGAGAAGTTTCAGACCAGTGCTTGGGGAATTCTGGGCTTCCAAGGCTTTCTAGACTGCTGGAGTTGGAGGATACAGAGCCATTGCTGGCTGCAACCAAGTTGACAGTGCTTCCATACTTGCCACCTGATTGGCACTGCCACCGCTGCCGGGCATGAGCCTTTATTCCGTGACATTTAGATTCAACATTTTTCTTCCCTGGGGTCACAAAAGACTGGGTGCTCCTTGTTAGATCATCGGCAGTTCCAGGGCTGCTGCAAGACTGCAAATCTGATTGCTGCCTGGGCTGACTTTTAACACCCCAGTTTTTTAACTCTAACCTCTCTTCTCCGGTTATACTGCTATACTGATCATGGTGAAGTGTATCTTTAGCAATAGGCCTGGAAGGATGGTCACTCCACTTGCATTCTAGATCTGGGCTTTCTTTGGAACCAATCATGCATTTCATGCAATTGGTGGCCACTCCGATCCTACCAGAGCTGTTGATGGCACAGCGTGCAAAGACACTTTGCTTCTCGCTTTGGTGCTCCTGAAGCCGGACCCTGTTAGACCTCTGTATGGGTTCACTGAAAGCAGCACCCCCTCGAGCACAACTCTGGCTTTTGGCTTTACGAGAACTATGGGCCTTACCTTTCAACCCCTTGCCATGCACCTCCCCACTGGCACCATCTCGGGGAGCTGGTGACAGAGAAGCACTTTCTGGCTCTTGCTCAAAGCGAGGCTGTGAGGCAGCTTCCACTTCACGGTCTTCACCAGCCCCTTCAGAGCTGTTGTCTTTTGTGTCAAAAGCAATTTCAGGAAAGCCCTTCTTGTTCTTCTTCTGGCTTTTGGTGGGTGCACTGGCTGTCCGTCTCAAGATGTGGCTGCTAAAGGAATGTTTGCGATGGAGCTGACCAGCAGCATGACTGTCCAGAGAGGCCTGCTTTGGGTTTCTGAGAAACAGGCCTTTTAGACCTAGAGCTTGTTTGGCCTGGAAAAGTTTAAAAAAAAAAAAAAAAATCCTTAATAGAAAATGCAAGTCTCTTCTTTTGGGTGCAGGAACTCACGTACAAATGATCAGTTCACATATGCACACACATACAGAGTCTCCTGCCATATTCTTATCATCAGCATGAAAACTAAACCAGAAATAGGACAGAGATTAAAAATGAAAAGAAAAAAAAAAATCAGTAACAGCAGCTTTGCAAAATTTAACATTTTTTTTGCTCAACTATGTTTTTAGATAAATTTTTTCAACCAGGCTTATCTCTGTATTTGTCATAAGTTTCTTACTAGCATATAGGCTACTTACAACAAACACTAGATATTGAAAAGAAAAAGTAAAAAACCCAAAATATTTCAGTCTACAAGGATCTAATTCTGAAAGCTGAAGAGTTTCTCAGTGTGTGTTAAAAGCCACAAAGCTTGAGGTATTCATAATGCCACACATTTCAGACTCTTTAAGACTAAAATCAGAGTGCTTCCTTTTTAGCAATACAGCTTTCTGGGGTTTTGTTTTTTTGTTTTTGTTTTTTTAAACACAAAGCTCTGTGAGGTATGGGTCAGTTTTCCAACACAATGTGCACACATCTGTCCCAACAGTTTAATGACATCGATATACTGCAGAACCTGGAGGAGACATAGGAAATCAATTCACCACAGGAATCTAAGGATAAATGGAGACTTGCAGATCTGTTGCAAACTTAAGTAGTTTCTTTAAAGAATGCATGCTAGCATTTATGAGATAATTATACAAAATGTAAATCAACCCCAGCCCCCACTTAACTTAAGATGCAAGTCTCCTAGATTCCCGAAGTCATCAACTAGAATAGCAGTACTTCTCCAAGGGCAACATGGAACAGTTAAAACAGGTTCTGGCTCTGAACCACCTCTGAAAGGACCACCACTGATTACAGAGGGAGAGTACAGAGACCAGCTTTCTAATCTGGGCACCCAAAGCATATGTATTTAAAGTAGGTGGTGTAAATGCTTCTTCTGAATTGCCACAGAGGAATTAGTACAACTAGCTTCTGCACTGTGAATTCACATTCTGTGCAAACTGTGCTCTACTAGGAAATCCCGAACAAGGCTTCTGCATCACACTATAATAAAAATAAAGCAACAAATGCTGCAAGCTTATGTTATCTTGAAGTGTCATTACTAACTTTGGGGCCTTGCCCAAGTTAAGTCCAGCTGGGAAATGCAGTAGTTAAAAAAAAATTTAAGCATGTTTTTCAATAAAACAAATCACCTGCGATTTTGTAGACTTACACACGTTAGGACTGGGCCAATTAGAACTGCTGGTGATTTCAATTAAATTGGAAACACAGAGCTGAATTATCTGCCTTGTGCAGAACAGTATACTTGAGCAGAACTGGACATCAGATGTTTTCCTGTTTCTTAAACTGGAGATAGTGATTAGCACTCATACTTTAGAGAAGAAATTTGTGGCATGGAACAGAGGTTCCAGCTCTGGAACAAAACTGAATGGTCCAAGTAAATGAGAAGAAGAAACTGAAAAAAAAACCAAACCCAAAAAAACCAAACACAAAACAAGCTATAGGAATGGTGATAATTTTAAAAAGTTGCTTTAAAATAATTTTAATTTTACTTTTCATGCAACATGAGGTGGTTACAGAATTTAGCTGATAGTGACCTTTTAAGCCAAAGAATATTTTTGACTTAAAACAGATAATAATTAATTGGATGTTCAAATGGAGATTTACGTTCTTTAGGAACTGTTGTGAAATAAACAGTGGATGTAAGAGTATCATATTTATTCAGTATAAAGGAGATCAACACTTCAATTGAATTGAGCACCGTCATGAATAGCAGTTGAACTATATGCATGACAAATGATCATCCAATACTTCACTTTCTACCTGTGTGATTACATTTTGATAATTTCGTACCATACAACACTTATCCAAAGACACTCATGTATGTTTTCATCACTGAAAAAACACACTATAAACAAGTGAAGTTAGTCAGGGTGATAATACAGTACTTCATATACTTCAGTACTTATTTAAGCATAAAACATATATATTCACCATCATAAATTTCCCACCATCATACAACTGATTTACATTCAAAACAGAGAGTTTCAGCATTCCTGTAAAATTCCAGGTGTACTTGCCAACTTTTAAAGCAATAAGCTGATGCCTAATAAAGAGTATGTTGGTTTTTCTCTGTACATAGAGTCTCGTACTCATAAATCACTTAAAGCAGAGCAAGAACCATTTCCCTCCTAATCTACTTCTCCTCCTTTGTTCCCTTTATTTCCCAGTTAGATCAGACCCTCTTTAGTAGCTGTAGCATAAAGAATTAATAAAAATAGAGTACATAAGCCTATGATTGAAATGCATTGTAAGAAACCCATGATAAAATTTGATCAGCATCCATGCTTGTTGGCACTTGCTGTCAGTTCAGTTTTTACCCTGTGATGTCACATGAGATCACATTTCTGCAGTGCCAAACAATGGCACATAAATGTCTCATTTAAATTACAATGGTCTATCTTTCACCCTAAGATATTCAAGTACGTGCTCATGCATTTCAAATTTTGCTTTGTAGGACTTAATGGATAGATATTAGCCGCACTGTACAGTAACCTGTACAGGAAGCTGCTTCTATTCACAAATGTCCTGCACAATCTGCCATATGGTATCAAGGTTTATTTGTCTGACACAAAGCCCAGTGAAAGCATTCAGAATATTATTTTTATAATTGACTGAAGTTTAGGTACCACATGTCAAGATCCAGTGCAAGGAGGAGATGATTAAAAAGAGACTTAAAATGGCCTTTAAAAGTATATACAGGATAAGATAAAGAAGGTAGGGATTGATTTTTTCCCCATACAAGGCAAAGAAAATGTAATTTAAATATTAGTAAACTTTCTGTGAGAGCCAGACTACTGAACAGTCTGCTTGGTTCATTGTGGATTCACTTTCACTAGAAAGCTTCAAAAGGAGATTATGCATTTGTTAAGGAGAGAAGGGAGAAAGCATTCGGCTCCAATGGATAAAAGTTGGCAAGTACACGAGTTTATTGCTATAAAAATCAGACAACATAAATATTTGCAAAACCCAGAAAAAAATTGTCATACACACACACACAAATAATATCCAACAAAAATAAAAGCAAAGCACTGATGGAATGGGTGATATTCAGTGCAGGGGCCACAGTATGATTCTAGCTTATTTGGTGCATCTTTGTTGAGCTAGCCACTATTGCTTGAATCAATGGAGTGATTCAAGAACCCAAAGACAAATTTGGTTAACGTAGAGAAAAAAAAAAGGTTTAAAAAAAAGAAAAAAAGAGAGCCATTTTGATGTAGATCCAGAACATGTGCTTTCAGCTTCTAGTCCAGATTTTACAGGACTATTTCATTCTTTAAAGCAGACTTGAAAAACAGCACGAGAGGCTTTCTCACAATTTAGCGAACAATTCACTGTTAATGTTCTTTTCCATGTGAAACAAGTGCATTATAGTACACCAGAGAAAAGGCAGTAGAGGTAGAGACTCAAAGAAGAGAGAAGGGAAGGGTATAGAAGGACTTTCATCCTGGATCTGCTTCATACATAGAGGGCTCTCTGGCTGATCAATGGCCCAACAGAACTGACCAAGTCAAACGTTGCAATTCATGTTACATGAGTTGAAGAGCTTCAAAATGCAAATAAGGAAACATTGATGCTAATGAAGCAACTAGTTAGAGGCATGCAGGTGTGTGTTGGTGGTCACTACACCTCCCTGAGACAGGAGGGGGTACCTTCAAGGCGTCTAAAAACGCTCTGCTTCTAAAAGTAGACTTTTTTGACAAAGAGAAGCCCACTGAAATCACAAACAGACAGAGTAAAGGCAAAATAACAGTGAGGGAGGATCTCAGAGATATGCACATCTAGAAAACCACAAGAAATTCTGCAATACATGGATAGACTACAGAAGTGACAGAGACAAAGAAAAGAGTCTCCAGGAGATAGTGCAACCTAAAAGAGATTTCAGTTAAACACAAGTTAAGCTGAAAAAAAAATCTAAGACTCTGCTTTAGTAATATCAAGCTACTGAGCAGGTAGAATATCTATATTTAGAAGAAAGCCCCAAAAGGTTAGTGCTTGCATTAGAATATCTGGATTAATAAAGGATGGGTAAATCCAGGCTGATAACTGTGGTGATTTTTCTGCCCATAATTAAGAGAGGGGAAACAGAGAAATTATTTTAGTTTTAACAGAACTTTGTTAACTGAAAAATCAAAGCAGCACATGATTCAGAAAGACCAAACCAAAAAGGACTCTGTAATATTTGTTCCATATTTTCAGTAGTTTTTATTAAAAATTATAAATTACACCACCACCCCCAACATACAAGCTTTCCTTCCAAATCCTTGTATTTTAATCACATCAGTGCACAGCACCAGCATCTTAACACCAGCAAACCCAAAGAGACTGCAAGGATAATAAGAAACAATAAGGGATGTCTAATAGACACAGAACATGAAAAAGGAATAAAGCAATCAAAAAAAACAAATCAGTGCAGTAGATTGAAAGCTAGTGGATAAGGACAGGGAGGAGACACCATGATACACAAGGGTCTTTTAGTTGTTTAAAACACTTACCAAAAAAAATCTAATGTCCTCAAAATAGCTGCCAAGTTTAAATGGGCATGTTGCCCTACTGCAAATTATAACTATCACCAGCCAGTTACTCATGAAGAAGCCAATCAGAGCAAATAATCATGAAAGGCTAGGTAAAGGAAGGATTAAAAGAGAGAGAATGCGTTGCAATATTGCCAAAGGAGATTTGAGGTGAAAACTCTTAAAACATTCACAAAGACTATGAACATTGTCTCTTTCATGAAACACTGCTACCCAGAGCAGTGACTTGGAAACTGATGAAGTTAACGAATCAGTGATTAAAGCAGGCAGACCCAGTTTGTCTTTCATTTAAATATCCCATTTGCCAGTGGATACTAAGCTACAGACTGACTTCCAATGAAGGATACTGAAATATTTGCTATCCTTACAATACTACTGAGAGAGCAGTGCAGAGGACACCACCTGAAAGTAGCAAACAACTGGAGCTTCATGAATGCACACAACACTGGGAAGAGGAGGAGAATGTGCCTATTCTCCATCCTTTTGACTAAGAACACAACAGAAAACAAGAATTTACAAAAAGGATGAGTAGGGCTAGCCAAGGCAGTCATCATCTCTACTGGATGCATACAGCAAATAGATGCCTGCTTTCATTAAACGACACAGGTGAGGGACACAGTCACTAATCAGATCAATTCAATTCCCACTGGCCTCATGCCCGAGGCTGAGCTATCTGATTTTCGTGGTACAGTCATGGAGAGTTTGATAAAACTATTCAAGAATGAGCAATAGATCTGGACACAGGAACTCCAAAGAAGTTCATGACAAAATTTAAAGCTGTTTGAATCAGTGCCAATGCGTGCATCCAGCAAGTGACTGTAAGGTTACTGAGACAGTAATCTTACAGTCAAAACTACCCGCAGTCAAAACAGGCATGACTTACATCCTATACAGTTCCCTTGAACCCAAAAATATAGTCAAGAAAGATCTTAGCATTGAAATGTTCAGCCTGCCATCACTTTTCCCTGCAGCCTGGGACTAAATGACCATTTTACCATGACCTGGGTGCTAGCCTTTTATCCGTGACAGGTCCTACAGTCCAAAATTAAACACTGCTCATCTGGTCTGTCCTGCTCAGACCAACACCAACAACCTCTCTTTCACCTAAATCTTCTAAAGTCTCTTGCTCAATAGAGCTAAATTTACACAGATTCATAATGCCATCACAGGGAGTTTCAGGCACAACTCCTAGCCCTGTCAGGATGAAGCTATACCTGCCTAAAGGTTTTGCATTAGACATCAAATAAAAAAAAGCAGGAACTGAGCTAAAATGTCTAAAGTGACGTTCTTTCCAGAAATAGCCCTTCTTCCTATAAATAAAAAATGAAGCTTTCCTGGGAGTTATCTCTGTTTCATCCCACAAGAGTTTAGATTAAAATCTAGCAGTTGAAAAAGCTGTTTTCCTTTTTAAGAATTGTTTTAATTCCTCTTAATGAACAGCACCACAAGCAAAGAACTCACAAATTCCCAGCCTATTCAATGCCGCCTCCTGCCGTCACGATGCTGATTTTACAGCTTGCTACTACAGAAAGCTCAGCCGGTCATTGCGAGTGGATATAAACTGGTTTTGAGATTCTAAAGGCACTGCCAAGATACTTAGCTACCTGAATTTCATTGAAATTAATACCATAGAAGGAACTAAATCCAGTGCACTGTGAGGAAAAAGAGGCTATCTCATTTTCAGCTGGCCTAGGAGAAAGTTTGAAGTTAGGGCTTTACTTTCAGCTTGGAGTTACTCATGTGAATGTAGATATAGCACCCAGATAGTTGTATTTTCCTGCATGTGAAGCAAACACACTCTTAATAACAGAAAAGCGGTGAAAATAAGTCCAATAACTATTATAAGGATTATCTTTCCTCTGCATTTTAAGTGTTATTATAGAAAAACCCCAAAGGAAATAAGCCTTAAGAATTTAATTAAATGTAAAACGTGAAAGCATCAGGAAGACAGAGCCTTTATAGAATAAGCTTTTCAGGCAAGAAGCACTCGTGGTTCAGGTGTATAACCTTTTGTTCAGCAAGGTGCACTTAGTGTACTGGACACAAGCAGACTTATTTATATAAATGTGTGCATGCTGCAATGAAATAACCTTCCCTATGGCTCCCTCAAAAAGGCACTGCAAGAATCTCTTTTTATAACTTTCCCTACGATTTGCCTTTATCTCCATGTATATTCAGAAAGATGTCAGGCTACCATGGCAATCACAGAGATGAAGTTTACTCTAGTTGAACAAATACGTTAGCTTGGACCTTCACCCATTGGGCTTCCCTAGTGTGATACAAAATCCTGTCAGTTCATTTACATATGCAAGCTGTACTATATTACACTGAAGGCACTCACCTTACCACAGATGTCATTAACAGCCACATGAACAAAGATGGATGCCTCTTCTATACCTTCCAGGTACACGTGTCGGTAACCTGAAAGAGAGTGAACAAAGCTGACAAGCAGTTGAAACAGATGATAGGAAGAGAGTTTCCTTTTGTAAATAGCAGAAGAAATTAACCATTTTTTTTCCCAGCTCCTCCCTGCAATAAGCATCCAGGCTTGTGCATCACCTAGCCACACTCAGTTATCTAAGAGTGACACCACTTATGAACTTAACTGCCATTTCTTCTTGTCCCTTTTTTTTTTTAATAAAAAAAGCCATGTCCTGTTTTTTCCAGTGTCCATTATTGCTGCTGTCAATTTGTGACTTAAAGTTGACTACATTCTCCCTTGGGGACTTACAGTCCGTTATTCATGCCGCAAACGTTTCAACTAAGTTCATTTTATTGAGACTGGATGTTTGTTTTCAATCTTTTTTCTTTACTTTTTTACAAACTTTTTTCTTTACTTTGAAAGAAAGAATATACACAGAAGAAGCTTTAATGTGAAAGAAGACTGAATTGAAAACAGAAATAGGAAACTGACAGAAAACGCGCTTAATAACCTGGATCCCATAATTAGAATAGGTAACTATCTGTTCTATATTAAACTACTGCTGACAGTAATATGACCAATCAAAACTCTAGTGTCTTTCAAAAACTGGTGTGAAGAAAATGGAGGAAAAAGCAGTATGAGATAACAGGAGTAAAGAGTCTGTATGGTAGTCTTCCAAGCCCACAATATTTAGCCATCCTGCTTAACAATCTTACCCTTTTTCTAAAATCTAGTCCCATAGAGTTAATTGATTTAGTCTTCATCATCATATAAGTCAGTTGTGGACCAAGATAGAGAACTCAGGGTCCAAACTCCCAGTGTCTTGTTCTAACTAGAAATTTCTGTAGCAGACACATGCACACACATTAATCCAGCATTCACAGCTTCAGTTATCACAGAAAAAGAAGTCCTAGCCAACTGATTTGGGATTTCACCGTTTCTGTCTTACCTGGCATCATACTGCTGAAAGCTATTGTTCTCTGTCCAATAAAATCACGACCAATTGGATCATGATCCCACACAAGAAACCGAATCAGTGCAATCTCTGGCATGTGTAGTGTGAACACCAGTGTTTCCTCCCACATTGGGTTAAAACCTTGGAATGAAGGAATCAGCTTTTAGATATTTTGTTCACAAGATGCAAGAAGAAAGAAGACTGCCTACATAAGGAATGCCTAAACTGCAATGTCATTCTCATATTTGTAATAGTTCGATCATTGTTCTTGGAAAACCCAGTACTCCTACTCACTTCAGGTAGAGACACAATAACACAAGAATTTGCAAGAAACAGAGTTGGATCTTACTTAAATTTGGCCCTGCTCTCAGCAGGTGTTTGGACAACCTGACTTTCTTTTGACCAGAGCAAGCTCAAAATACCCTTCTCACATACAATGAGAAGTCAGAGAAATTACTTGTTTTACACCAAAACCTCCACAACATTAAGATTAAGAATGCTTAAATCAATTTTTCAGTGCTTTGCCATTATAGAGACCAAATTTCATCTACTCATCTTTATGAACAAAACTTGCCTGAAAGAGGAAATTTCAGCCATAAATCCCCTAACACCCACATAATCTTACCATTATCATCAACTACTCTAGTTTGTTCTTTGAAGCAATCAACAGGTAAGCCTATAACTTCTACTTCAACAAATGGATCTATGATCTGGAAAACAGAAAGTAACAAATATTGAAAGAATGACAAGGATTAAATTCAAGCACATAGCTTTTACAGTGTGAGTATTGTACATTATTGTCTTAATTATTGGTCCTGAGCCTTTCTGTAATGCATTATTATGCTGATGAGAGATCTCTGGCTAAATCATCTAAAAGCATAATTTAGAATAATCATGTTGTATGCATTTGTGATCATTTCTCTCTTCTATTCTATTTCTGTGTTCTCAAATGATCTTTAAACACTGGTCTGCATATGAATGTTTTCTAACGTAGTAAATATTTGAGAAAAATCTTTAAAATATATTCAAAACAGACATTATGAGAAACATGTTCTAAAGCAGCAACATCAAAAAAATCCCAACAAGAATCAAGAGTCATCTGTTAAAAATCTCAGTGTCATGGCACAATGGACAAGGCAATGGTCAAACCAAATGGGAGGTCGAGTTCTACCTCTGGCCGATTTGCAAAAATCTCCTATTACTACCTTCCATTTCTGGAAGAAACTCTGCTTAGAATGTAAGCTTGAAAAACCAGAGCATGTCTTGTAGAAGGTTGCTGTAATTACCTAAGACTAGAAAGCCTTTGACTCTGTGGAGACCTCTTTTAATTAAATGTGAACCTCAACTGAATTATAAGTTCCCTGAAGGCAACGGTGGGAAGGACATTCTGGGGATCACAAAGGAGGACTATCCTGGCACTGAGTCTTTACATTCACATCGTACTAGGTAACCACAGAGATATTCCTGTAATTAGCCTGAACCTCTACAGTTTTTACTTGTGTTCTCTGAAAGGATGACAAGTTTTGACAGAGTTGAGTCTCAGAGTGACACTTCTATCCCTATTCACAAGGAGTAGGAAAAGGCAGGTAGCTTTAAAAGATTAATCTGTGTCCAGCCTGTGATGTGGCTCATAAAAAAAACCTATGCTGGACCCATTCAGTTATATGTCATTTGAAACAGCAACCTGATACCCAAATCTACCATCCATCTCCCAGTAAGTAAAAGTAACATTGAAGACAAGAGTACATATAACCAACTATTACATTTTTTGAAAGCTTATTACTGCTTTCAGATACCAAGAATGTAAACAGCCAATGCAACCTCAGCAAGAATGAAGACTCTTTTTGATACTTAGGAGAACACAGATGTTCCTTGTGCCTATGTCCCTACAGAATACTCTACCACTAAAGAAAAATTAGATGTGTTGTATCTGCTTTTTATTACTTTTCAAAAGACACCTCATTCTCAGTAGGAAAGACTACACAATGTATTTGTCAAACATCTTATCTTGTTTGCCTAGCTCTATTCTATAAAATCTTTTTCGTAACATAGAGTGGTCAGCACAATAAAGGTCTGATTTTTCTCTGGTATAATTATATGCAAAGGAAACATAAAATGAAACATGGAATTTTGAACACCACCTAACTTACTGTAGCTTTCAACAGGGCTTTTATTTCTGAGTAGGCTTATATAGTGTAGATACCTGACTTAGCTTAGACACTGACAGCAATCAAATCAGGGAGCACAGGAAATTGGGTAGGATGAGCCAGGCTACAGGTGCTTGTCTGAAAGTTAAACTAACCCTTGCTCAGGGTTAAACTAACTGCAAGTTTGGTGTCTGGACAGACTGGGTGCAGATTGTTTCTTAAGATTATTTAGGCATTTAACAGTGTTAATTTTCCTATATAGTGTTGGCCCCTGACATGGGGAGTAAATTCGTATGTTTTGCAGGCACTTCTTAGAGTAATCACTTCAAACATGACTGGTAACAGTTGTAGGGAACTGGCTTCATGAGCTCAGGTAGTTTTCTTCCAAGATCAGGTTCTGCATGAGCTAATTCCCCTACTGCTCAGGATAAAATGAAAATCCAACAGATTATTCTTCATATTCTGAAATATAAGTGCAATCTGAATTAGGACAAATTCCATGTTGTTGCATATTAATAAGAGTGGAAATAAAGAAAGAAATGGAAATGGAAATTAATTAATTAAAACATAGGTAGGTTCACTAAACCCTCAGTATGACTCTACTGTGTTTGGTTTTTAGGGAAGTTTACCTGGTTTGATGTAGTCACCTAAAGAGTTCTGTGGAGAAAGGGTATTTAGAAGCTGATTGCAGCATTCATATAAAATTCAAGCATGTAAGAACTCATTTGAGAGGTTTGATTCTAATTGCAAAAGGCTAAAAGGAAATTTTAACTCTGACAAAACTTCATACTAGTATTCATTAAAGACTAATATTTAATAAAGTCATGTGAATGACATTGTGACACCAACAAACAGCACAAGAAATGAAGAAAGCCTCTTTAAAAAGTTGCCAAGAGGTTGCAGATCTGGTTCCTTTTAGTCTGATACTTCATTAAGTGAAGTTGCCAAGGGTTTTATAAAACAAATAAGGGAGCAATAAAAAAAGAAAAAAAAATTAAAAAAAGGATAGATCACACAACAGAAGCCAAAATGAAGGACAGAAAGAAAACATGTAATAATACTGTGCTAAATGGAGGACTGGGAGCAGATTCATGCAAGCAGAGGGAAGGACTCCCAGGTAACTCTGCTTGCCTTGAATGACAAGCTCAGCAGTTTTCTACATTTATTTTTTTTTAAGAGACAGACTGACTTGGCACTATTTGCAAGGGTGTTTTGGAGGAAGGAGGATGTTTAGAGTACTATGGTGAGTAGAAACTTATCATGATGAGCTTGTTGGCCCTTTTTTGCTTCTCCTGGAGGCACTGTGTTGACAACTGGAGGAAAACCAGCAGACCATTCCTGTGATGCAGAAATGAAGAAAACCACCTAAAGATCTAGAATGCTAGTGACCTAATTTATTCATGTTCTATGACTCCTGACAGATAACTGCAGGAAGTTAAATCCTCATCCTTAGCCCAGCCAATATGGAAATAAACCTTCTCCAACACACAAGAACAATCACCGATTGTCCCATACCTCTCCTCTGTCTCCCAACATGGAATCACGTGGTTTTGGGAGTTGTTGACCACTGATAATTCTCAGAACCAGTTGTTTCTTCAATTGACCAGGCAGTGGGTCTTCAGAATTTGGATTAAAGACACCTGTAAGAATGAGAAGTCACATAATGTGAAAGAAGTACAATTTTGGTGATCTAGTTATAGATACCTTCGGTCTCATTTGCTTTGAGTATCAGAAATGCATTCTTAAACAAACTATAATAAGGTTCCACACCCACCCTTCTCACGCAATAAGTGATCCACTTATTTTGCTCATTTTTCTTACCTTGACACATGCAGTTTGGTTTGAGGACATAGCCACAATTCCCATTGGCACTAAATTTGGCCCGGTTGAGTTGCAGCATTCTTCCCTCTGACTGGTAGTTTAGTGCAACTATTTAAAAAAAAGAAGGTGATATTACTTACTGAGTACGTTAACAGCATTCTTGTTTGTAGAACCAAGTTAAAGGAAGGACACCTAAATACATTTTCACATTTTACTTCTTGGATGCAAAAACTCAAATGTTTTATGAAAAAGAATTCACCTACATAACATACATCACAGCTTCAGGGAGAGAAGCTCTCCAAAAGAGTCTGAACTCTGAAGTCCCCTTGCATTTGAGAAGTTAATTTATTTCCATTTATCAGACAACTACTTGGATGTAAGACACATGTTTGAGGTAATCTATCTCGGTAACAACATAGAGAGGAATAAGGAGGACTCAGTTGTCAGTAAAGTTGGATGAGCAGAGAACTCGGAGTATTTTAAGGGGTGATTCCAGTGTTCCTATTAAAACATCCCTCCTAAAACAAAACAAAAATAAACAAGTTTTCTTTCTGCTCACCAAGTTGGCATCCAGCATTCCAGAATGGCTGGGGATTGTAGTTGCTAGAGTCTACACGATAAGAAGATGGGTAGATGCGGGACAACTGATGCTGGTTGAAACGTAGATACTGTGCTGGCTTTTGCTGCAGTATCTGGTGGGCTTTTGTTTCACTGAAAGATGAAACCTGCCAGCTGGAAGAGACTAAAGAGAAGAGAGATTAGAGGTAATCTCCTTATTTATTATCTAGATAAAGCATTCAGAACTACATGGCACTAGTTCCTTATAACTATCAAGCATCATTTGAATACATCCCACTCAGAGGGAACTATGCTATTCTTATATTACAGCAAAATCATTGTGCTTAATGGAGGAGTTATGGTTGGGAAAATGAAGCTGAATATAAGGAATGACCTGAATCTTCATTAAGAAGTTTAAAAAAAAAGTCTCTAAGATTTTAATTTGCTCAAGGCAAGTATGTTTTCTGGCAAGCAATTCTCTCTTTTTGACACTTTTAACTAAAACTTGATTCCTGTCAAAATAAGATACAGAAAACTTAGAAAGAGGACTGAAATATTCTAGAAATTTAATGCCCGATGTTTCATCAGATCTCACTTAAGAATCTAGACTTCAAGCTTGAAATGCTCTTCTGACCATTCTCCCCAAGAGCATAACTAAGTCCTCTTATTTCCCAGGATTTAAGTGTTGTGTGGCAGCTTTTATACAAGCTAGCAAAGACTACATGTGTACTACTTACTACCTGTAGTAACTTTTTCTCCTTTATGGAAGCTGTCACAAAACTCTAGACACACTTTGTGGATTCTGAATAGCAAGTGGTCAGCTACTTCAGAATAGTATAGCTTTATTTTGTGCAGCTCTTCTGTTAAAATCTTTTCAGGGTCAGGGAGAAACAAACAGAAAACCAGCTTTCAATAAGAAGATATGTAAGGACATAAACCTTTCAATTTCTTTGTATAGCAATTATTTTCAGCAGACTTTTAGTTCAACCTACTTTCAGTTTCAACGTCATGGATGCCAACAGACTTTGTGTATTTCACGAGGTCAGAGAGCGCCCTGGACAGCTTCATTGTTTTCTTCTGTCGGTTTATTCTAGAAAGATAAAACAAATTAACTTCCCATTAATCAAGGGCTAAATTTTATCTTTCATATTTAAAAATAAATCAGGGTAAAGAAACATAAGAAGGTTTTCTGCTACCAAGGAGGTACTTAATAGTTTTATACCACATAGAGCTTCGCTGTCAAAGCACAGCAGTTGTGGAACCAATGGCATGAAAGTACACGGAACAAGTAAGGCCTGTTCTTTCTTGTTAATGGCAGACATAAGTATTCACCTACTAAGATCTGGTGGGGAGGACTCTAAATTGCTTTGACCAAAGGGTGGAACATCTATTCACATATATATTTACTTCTCAAGTCAAGTGCTAACAAAAAAAAAAAATTTTAAATCCCAAAGAAATAGTAAGAAAGTAATGCTCTGATCCTCCTTATTTGCTTCAGGTTGTCACTAACAGCATATCTACTAAACTCCCCCCAAAAGCTCCAAAGTATCCTAGAGAACTGCTTGATCTGATTTCTTACTTCTGAAGCCTGAAGCTTAAGCAACCATCCTGCAAAGGATCTTTGATGTCAGGATTTTTGAAGAGGCAATTTCAAAAGAAAAATCAAAATCATCAGCTGAGTTGTGATGGAACTTCATTTGGCAAATTATAAAACAATAAAAAAAATCAGCTGGGGACCTGATAAACTGCAAATCCACCTTAATGGATTCAACTAGGCCACCAGTCAAATGGCCTATATTTCAGCTGGATGAGATGGTAAGAGCTCAAAACACATACAAGGTCTGCTGTACTTTGCTAATTAGTTTGAATGGCACCAAGAGATCATTCTAATGATCTTGTGGCAAACATCGGATCTACCCTTATAACAGATCCCTGTCACATGCCTGCAGCCTTCAACAAATTGACTTCTAGACCTGAAGCATATCTATTTAGTGGGTACATTTATGTAGGTATCTTTTACAGAAACAAAATTGCCAAATCACTTGTTCACAAACCTGCTGTAATGTACAGAGCTCCTGGCTAAATTTCCTTGAGAATCCGAATCATCTTCACCCTCTTCCAGACTTGTTGCCTTTTTCAATTTGCTTCCTTTTTTCTGTGCCACAAGGAAATGAAACCATAATATCATAACAGTCTGAACAACATTTGAGCAGCTGGATACAATTCTGCTTTGTTATGGCTATGAGTATATTACTTACAGAAAATAGGAAACGACAGCTTTTGTAATACTCAGTACTGCAGAATAATATGCATGCATGTGGGGAAGACTCAGCCCGAGGTCAGAGCCTTTTTATAAAGGAATCAGATCCTCAGATAAAAGGTGCAAATTAATTTTTAAGCTTTTCAGATTAGATCTTGGATACTTTTAGTCCTTGATGTAAATTGAAACTGTTATGCACCATTATAACCAGTTATCCAGCCTACCCATTCAGTGAACAGTCTGATAGCAAGCCTCTGCTAGACAATGCAATTATGATATTCTTCTCAACCACTGTGTGCAAAGAAGAAAACCTATCCAAGAATACAATATGTAGTGTAGACCTAATTTACCGAGTGACTCACCTTGCGTTTAGAAAAACTGCCCATCAATGATCGGCTGTGCCTTTTATTGGTACTGAAGTCTTCCCCAGATTCCACATCATCCTCAAGTTTGTTCTAAAGCAACCAAAGAGAAAGAATAATGTAGCAGACCAAATAGAGTGCTACAGACAGCATATTTGAACATCATCAGAAATAGTTTGGGAAGCAATCTTCCCTAAAGTGTCAACAGAACTGGAGCAGACCAATGCAGGCTTTTTTTTTTTTTTTTTTTTAAAAAAAAAAACCACAGGCTGAGTAAAAGACCTTTTATCCCAGCAATAACTACCATCATTTTTGTCCATGGGAACTTTCAGAGCAGACAGAAATCTCACAAATATGTAACCCCAATTTTATTTTCATCTAGGCAAAGTTTGAATGCCCCCATACCACATAACATTCATTGACACCAGACTGGTTTATAGCTTAATATGTGAAAAGCATAGTTTAACTGGACTTATTTCTGCCAGCTACACAGTTTTCCTAGGGTAATCCTAGTATCCAAGGCCAAGAAGCCTTGGCCTTGTAGTGCATCTTACAAGAATAACTGTCTGATACACTGTGTAAATCATTAGGCTTAAAAGTACATACAAAACTTATGCCATAGAAAGTTTTGGGAAGCTGATTTTTAGTTCTCATCTAGTTTTAATCCCTAGTTAGTACACTTGCTTATTATTGGAAGACCTCAAATGTTTTTAATTTGCATGCAACAATCTTCCTAAGGTTTTTGTGGCTTATTACAAATTCTAAAATGACAATGCCTCAAGTTCATTAAGTGTAGTCTGTGGGCTGAGTACATTTTTATAAATAAGTATTAGTATAAAATTAAAATACAAATGTAAATGCATAGAACACAGACAACCAAGGCAAAAAAGCCCAACTTTCATATGCACTTTTTATAATGGAAAATAAAATTCTGTTGAAAAGTAATTTCATTTTGTATATTTCATGCTCCAATTGCTGTGTGAGCAAGAAAAAAAGCTTTGCATATCTGACAGTGATGTTCACCTGGCATCATCATTAACTGAATGAATTCAGCTGTGAATCTGAAGTCAATAATATATGATTTATTCAGTAAGCTAATAAAACACAACAAATGGAAATGCTAAACTTCTCTTTGTCTGAAATCACTGAGAAAGACATTGGACTTTAGAGAAAGAGGTGGTTAGCATTTCAGTTTATATTTTGAAGGACTGCCACATTTCATTATTCATCTGCAATAACTGATTATCCCTCTGCATCAAGTGTGAATCACAAAAACAGCTAAAATTAAAATCTTATTATCAGCAAATTAGAAAGAAGCTTCCACTAAATGGACATAAATGTGAAAAGTATTCTTCCTTTTAATACAGCTTTTATATAAGCAACATGAGGTATTAACAAGGTGTCATGACAAAATATTACAGAAAATATTACAGAAGAAGGGAACATGTTTTCTTATATATTGAATTAGCCAAATAAGTGTTCATCAGGGCAGAATGGAAAACAGCTTCAAAATCCCAGTTCCACCTAAGTCTGACTGGGGATGTGAACCCGGCTTTACCACATCCCAGAGGAACATTTTGGCTATCTGGTTATTCTTGAGTTGTATTATCCTAGTTAACCTAGACAGGAGACAGGAATCTTTTCATTGTGTGACTCACACTTATCTTGTTTTAAGGGAAGTGCTGAGCATTCTTTAGTTTCATTAGTACAATGATGGCTGCAGATACCTGAGGTAAACTGAGCTATCTTAACTGGGGACTCTCAAAACAGAATTAAAAGCCCAACTTTAGACATCCACCTTTGAAAGAACAAGCATTACCGTTATGAAATTATAGTACTATATAGCTACAGAGACAAACAAAACAATCAGGTGTAGGGGCAAGTGAAGTACGATAAAACATGTTCACCTTCTTACTATCTGATTTTAGACCAGCCTTTCCTGATGATGGTAGAGTGGTAACTGTAAAATTGTTTGGATCTTCACAGTCACGGATTTTGGATTCTTTTATCAGTGAATCAAGTTTCTTCTTTGCTATATTCTCCACTCTTTTCCTATTAGTAGATGCCTACAAACAAAACAGAATCATTAAACTAGGTAGTGATGAAAAAAGTCTTATTAATTCCAGCCAGGATTAATGCAAACTAAAATGTTGTATGCAAGAAAAAATGTAAAAAAAAAAAGTTATTCATTTGCATAATGTGAAGGAGTTACCTGCAGCTCAGTATCAAACAATGTAAGGTATGGAAGCATATGAAGCCCTGAAGTAGATGTTAGATCTAAAGTATAAACAGATTGTCTGAAGTGATGAGAGTGTAAAACTCATTAAAACAGTTCTAGTTAAACCAAGACTGACCATTAGCAGAGCTATTCAGATGTCATGTCTGTTACAAGCCAAGGATGTGCTAAAATAGAAATAGTTATTACTGAGATGACTCCCCATACTGGACTGGGTTAACATATGCTATGTTTTGCAGCACCAATTTAGTAAAAAATCTGATCTATTCCACTGTGCTGTCCAATAAGCCATTCTTCACAGAAATTTAATAGTAATGGATACATGTCAAAACTGAGTATACGGTATTTCTCTCACACATCAGGGTTGATGGACAGCGTTCATATGCTATGTCAAGGTTGACTGCAGCTACAATAGATGCAAGCTTCTACTGGATGGAATGGGAGAAGATTTAGAATCTTGATTTCAGCAGTTCAAGGGCAAAATGTAAGAGAACTCCTTCTGTGAGAAAGTGGAGGGAAAACAAATAGAAATCCGGAGTTTTCTTTTTCATCCATGAGGCACAAACTCACAATCCCAGGTCTTTTAAGAGGTGACAGATTGTGTTTTCTCAGTAGGCCTTAAGAATTCCCAGTTAAATTTGTCATGAAACAAGCTATGATTTTCTGAGCGCTTCAAAATTTGGCTTGGAAAGCAAGCCAGCTGTAGCAAATCTCAGATTTAAAGCATCACTAAACCTCACAGCAAAGTGAACTGTTAGTAACAAAGACAATGAGGTCAGCAAAGTAATGCCTACTGAGCTTTTAGTGAGAATAATACACCCAACCACAACATGTTACTAGCTAATTTTATTATGAGAGATGACACTTTTCTTACTGGCATTAATTTCTCCATCCATTCAATGGAAGAAAAATAAACATTGTTTGACATCTCTTTATAAATAGTATATCTGTGGGCTAAGTTGAAAAGAATCATGGCAAAAGTAATTTCTAGCAATGAGAGACCTGCTAACATTTCTGTTTGTTCAAGCATCGGGATTAGGATCCTCTCGAAACAAGCCATCTTTAAGTCTAGAAATTATCTGGAGAACTTGCAAAATCAGGATATTAAGTACAACAGCGGCCCTGATTTCAGCAGGCTTGTCAAATCACCTGCCTTGTTGCCTTTGGATATTGCCTGAGATACAGACAAAAGAACTAGAAAACATAGGAAAACAAGCTGAGTGAACTTTGTTGATCACAGTGAAGTTTCAAAGTCAAGAAATGTCCAATTCTCATTTCATTCAGTTTGTGCAGTTCTAGCTTCCCTGTACAGTCAGCTACGTAGGTAGCCCCCAAATGGGTTGTAAAAGCTTTTGGTTTGGCTTTCAACTCATTCTCTTACTGTTCAAAAGGCTCATGTCTTGATACCAGGCCTGATCTTACATAGGTGGAAAGCCTGCTGAACTGAACTGTACCACACCACTGCCTGTACAATACCTTCCACTTTGAAAAGCTGCATCATGTAACAAGAAGGTGTCAAACCCCAAGAAGTATTAAAACATCACAGATCTCAGCTTTAGAATATTGAAAAGCGATATGCTAAAACATAATAATTTTAAAAAACAAATTATTTTTCCCCTTTGGTAGACTTATTCATAAAGAAGTTTCTCTTTTAGTTTTAGATTAAAAGCGTCAAATTCATAATATAAAATGAGGAAATATCCTGAGGGAGAGAGGACTGAAAATCTCTCCAAGGCAATCTGGGTTATGTTATTAGATGGTTTTGTTGTGTATTTTATATTGTTTCTGTAAGATGCAACGTCACTCGCCAGAAGATCAAAGTGACAAAAAAAATTAACTTTTAAAAAGGATGGAGAAATAAGGGATTTTCTGATTAAAGCAAGCAGAGATTAAAATATTCTCCCTTTTTAACACCTTCTTACAGTAAAAATCAACTAAACCCACCATTCAGCAAACCAAAGGGATGCTGTGTAACAATGACCACAATTTGACATAAGTAGAACTTTTCTCTTTTTTTTGCATTTGAGGGGAAGAAGACTATGATGCAATAAAGAATCATGAGCTATTACTATTTAAAATATTAAAAGACACGAAAATTCCAAACTTGAAACATAACCACTGGAACTGATGCTGTCCAGTATGCACTTCTGTCAAATCTGTCCCCACGAAGGTTTAGAACCTAAAAGACTTGTGAGGAATCCCAAGGATTAGACCACATCCACATTCCAGAGAACTCATACAAGGTTTCTTCTCACTGGGATGGGAAAACTTAACATACATTTACATCCAAATTGTCACTTAACTTACATCTCCATTCATTAGTTTACAGTCATCATCAATCTCATCAGCACTGTCCTCATCAGAAACTTCACCTTCCTCTGCATCATCACTGATGTTGGCTGGAAGTTTCTTTCCCTAGAAGATAGAAAGATTACGCAGGCAGGTTAGCACGCAGCTCTTGCTATCACACATATTAAAAAAAAGTAAGATTATTCAAAGCATGCAGCCAGGTTCTTGCTGATTGAGAAGACATTTGTTCAGAACCTTAAGTACCAGGTTCTTAAAGACTGCTTTTTGTAAAATGATTTAAGTTAGGGTATAAGTGATAATCAGGCAGAAATCACAATCATCACAAAAAAAGGGATGGAACAAACGAAGCAGGTTTTTACCTTAACCAGTATCTTTCCTTTAAGACTTGCTGGGGAAGGGAGCTTGGTAGAATCATCATTGTGCACAGAAGACAGATCCAGTTTGTCTCCCAGAATTTCTATAAGATACTGAGCCATCTTCTTCTGCTGAATGACACTGCAGTGGTTCTCAATTGACAAGATAACAGGGTACCTGGCAGAGACATAAGCAAGTATCATCAACTGCAAATTTAGTTTTTATAGCATTAAGAGGATAACAGTTATTACTGTCTGAGCCATTCCTGTAACAGACATCACCACCAATGAAATCCACAGTGGTTCGATAAATCAGTGTGGGCACAGGAGTGATACTCCACTACTCACTCCAAACTGAATGGTCGATTTTTTGACAGCCACAGGATAATTAAACTTCTGCAATCTGATTTGATGCATTTTTTTCCAGAGCACACTTTTTGCCTTCCTACACTACCCAGTCCTGAACTTCACTTACTATCAAAGAGATTCTGGCAAGCCAGTCGTAAGGAAAAATTAAGTAGTCACTGCCTTCAACTCTCCTCTCCAATCGGTGCTTCAGCAATTTTGTACTCTCACAGATAAAAGTAAATAAAGGTTCCAAGAACTGAAAAAATCCCCAACAGGGCTTTGTCTTTACCTTCCCACTTCCAACAACCAAGTGATAAACCTGTTGTGTTAGTTCTTCCATGAAAACTTTTCTAGCTAGCAACAGAGCAGTGTCATAAAAACAAGCCTGCAGATAAAGCCTCTTCTACAAAGACAGTAAGCATTATTTCTAGATTTAGTTTTATTGTTGTCATATATTGTTGATTCTCTAGGCTGAGGCCAAGAAATAACAATGCCTTGTTTTTTGAAAGGCATCATCAAGATAAGATTTGTGAAACATCGATTCCAGCGTGGTTGGTGCCATATAAAATCACACTGAAGATGGATTTCTGTTTAGAGATGATGCATTTTTAGGATGAGCACAAAAGCCAGCACACAGTGCAGTTTTGTAGGGCTGAATTATGAGTGATTCATTAAGTAAAAACTAATTATGAATAAAAAGATGTCTATCATGACATCTGGCCCTCATTAGCTCCTCATAAGGAAAAAGGAGGCTTTCAGCCAGTCAATGCCTGGAGGACAAAACTTTCCCAGCTGATGACTACAGTTAGATTCCTAGCTTTGCCTGAAGCTAGTTCCTTAGCTGAATTTGCAGCCTACCAACAGCTAAGCCTCCAGCCTGTCCTGGGAAAAAAAAACCACCTGCAAGTCTGAAATATGTTTTGTTCAGTACCAAACTCTGACTGAGCACCAATATCTACCAAGAAAAAAACCCACCACAAATAAGTTGTAACACAGTCCCACTTAGCCTTTCTATAAAGCTTTTAAGAACTGTAACAATTTCAGAAGCATTGCCATATATCCTGCTGGCCAGCTTTCCTTTGATTTATTTACCATGTCTTCAGGCAAACTCAAAAAAATTCAGGCTCACGATTAGTTTACCTGGGCTGAAATTTCAGGGCAAGGTTAGCTCTATTAATGAAGACAGATGGACTGCTTAGGAGAAGCTACTGGAAAATTTTTTACAGAGATAAATTAATTTGTCTTAAAAAAAAAAAAAAGAAAAAGATAGGTTGACACACACATTTTGACTCTCAGGAAGAGGACAGTACTGCCAAGGTATATGAAACTTCCCATTGTATAATTCTCTGATTTCCTGAGCAACATACAGGTAGGGAAAATAACCTATTTCTCTTGAACAGTCTGCTTTCTCCACAGTTGGGCTGCTGTCTCTTTGTATTCCTTTGCTGCCTGACTTGCTTCCTATCCCTGGAGTAACCAAGCGTAACCTTGACATCACTGGAGTACACATCCAGAGAGATATGTGGTTAAACCGTCAGCCTTCCACTAAAAACATTCACTGTCAAAACATGTTAATCCTCTGGTCTTCTACAAACGGGATAAAGACAGTCCCACAACTATGTACAGACTGCCCCTACTCAGTCAATTTTGCCTTGTTATTTCTTTCTGAAGGCTTTCTCCCCACACAAAACAACTCAGAATTCTGTCTGGCATATGCAGGAACAGGTTAGATTTTCACTAACTGCCTTTACAAGGATGCCAGGGAACTCTCCAGCTTATAGCCCTGAGACTCAAAAGTTGGCAGACTGTATACATACTCATTCTTGACAAAGGCATATTTGTTGATAGTTTCAATCACATCTTTGAAGAGTATTTTGGAAGTCAAAGTGTATCCATGGTGGACAATTGGTTCCCCGTCCGGCCCATCCCAGCAGTCAACTGTAGAACAGAAACAATGACACCCATCAGACAAGTAACATCTGGGGCCACCACCTGTGGAAGACTCTGAGACCCTGCAATTCCCTTCAGCATCCCAGCCAGGCATGTACCCAACAAAGCAGGGTATAGGTTTGTTCCCACCCTTCATCTGTATCTCCCTCCTCACTGTGCTCAACGTCCTTTCTCTAAAGAAAATTCCTGGCCTTGACATTCTACTGTGTACAGATGATTGTTCCCATTGTTTGAGAAAGCCCCAAGCAAAAAAGATCTCCTTTTAACAAGTGCTGAGGATTATTATGGCAGGAAGAGAGATGACATAGCATAGCATTACTTTCATTATGCTACTGCTGAACCTGAAAAGGAAAGCAGAGAATCTTAGCCAAGCTTCTCACACCACAAGCAAAGCCAAGACCTAGTCATCTCTAGCCCTCTTTGGATTTTGCCTAACCTTATACTTGTTTACAGTCATATTTCCATGAAATGTTTTACTCCTCTGAAGTATCCATTGGCATATCCACAATCTAACCTGAGCAAACCATGATATTGGCCTTCTGAAAAACTGTGAAAACACTTTGATGGTCAGGATATTAAAGGTGATTACGAAACTGGTACTCTCTCAGAAAGGCACTACAAGCATCAGAAGAGATTTCACATAAAGGCTTCCTGGTCACCGCAGAGACTGTCAACATTTCACATAATAGAACCCTACTTCCCTTATCAGAAATATCGGCTTTCCTGTTACGTGTAGCAAGAAATCTGCCATATTTTTGAGTTTGCTTGTCATGCACTCGGCTAGAAAGTATATACACCAATACATTCTACTGAAAGTTACTATTCTCTCTACAAAAATATTTTTACAATTTTTTTCCCTCAGTACCAATGACACTACTCTTCAAATGTCTGCCTTATTTCCATGCTCAAGAAAATTTGTCCATTATACTGCAACATTATTTTGTTGTTCTTTATGAAGGAAAGACACCATTTTACTAGGCTTTTTCCTCTGCCCAATTACCATGTCCTCAACAGAAGTCATCAGTCTTCCTTTACAGAGGAGAAACAAAACTATGGAACCTACTGATGATTCCCTTTTGATCTTTACCTTCTACGCAACGACAGCCAGATTGTAGCACCCATGCATACATGTCCACCCTAGACTGGGACATCAGTTGATCTCCCATGAGGTAGGTATTATGTGAAGAGGTAATGAAATAGTGACTCAAAGGAAAACTCATGTCCTGATTCACTTGGTAGTGTTCTGGGTTGAATATGTCCCCTGATGGACTCCGCATGTAATTGGTGAAACCTGTAAACAAACAATACTATAAATAACACAGTTTTGTCCTTTTTGTTGCTGTAGCCTTCCTAAAACCAGCCTAAAAATGCATCTCTACGTTCACCAACACATTCATGAACATGTAAGATAAATATCACCACCACATTCCAACTGTCACGATGACCAATTGCGATTATTGCTTTCAATAAATTTACAGTTGCTTTGCACTTTTCCCTGCTCTGCCTTTCCTAAGAAAATATGTCTATTTAATCCAAACCTGACATTTTAGGCTTATAATTTTTGTCAAAAGACTCTGCTGGGACATTAAGTCGCATGGCATACAAAAGCCTCCAGGGATCTGTGGTGATATCCTGGCATTGCTCCTCAGTGAAATGAGCTGAAAGATATATGGTATTGTACTGCATAAAGACAGTTTCTAGTGGCCCAACACAGTGTGAAGCAAGGGAGATACTCTCCTCTCCTCTATTTCTCCTGAAAATACCAAAAGAATGTCAACACACATTGGCTTGTACAAGCAACAGTCTCTCATTTTGATATGACACTGCATGCACAAACATGCATGTGGCTGGGAGAGATCTGCAGTATTGTATTACTGTCACTTTATGAGACTGAAGTTCACTCCGGACTTAACACTGAAAAATCATTTATCTGTAGTACTTTCTAGAACTTATTTTCTGAATTAGTGGGATGCTTGCAAATCATGCAAACATCACCTGGACAATTTCTGTATTGCAATCACTCTTGTTCAGAAGCAAAGTTTTCGCAAGTTACGTTTTTTATCTTTGTATGAAATGGCTGCTCTCAGATCACCAGTATACATTTGTGCACATATACACAGACTCTTTCACAAGACAAACTAACATTAAAAACTGTAACTTTGATGTCAAGCCTCCCCAAAATTCTTTTCGTTCACCACTAATGAAAGACTAAGATTTCCATTCACATCCTGACTTTAACAGCTGCTGACGGCAATGACGCCTTTATACAAAAGGTCTCTGCTTCAAGACTTCTAATTCTCCTGACATTTCACTCATTATTCCATAAATAAAACAGTGCCCATATAAAAATCCTGCCAAACTTCTAAAGGTCTTAATGCACTTTCTCTGACTGTGACAGACTGGTGCTTTGTTTCACTAAAGTTACACAAGGCAAAACAAGTCCAGTCTTCAATATCAATCTCAGAATACTGGTCTACAGAACACAGAGAAATTGAGCTTGAATAGAATTCAAGATAAAATGTCACCTTTATGACAGTTCTTATAGGCTTTACATCTTGTGTTGATGAAAGTTTTATTAAAGGAAAAGAGCTGATAAATACAAATAGCAGCCAAATCTTTTTGAAGAATACACTAGGAAACAGTGCTAGGGAACCTCAGTGTAGCCTAATATTTGAGTCTCTTGAGGCACATATCATGATCAACTAGCAAACCAGTAACATAGCTAGAGTAAAAACAAAAGACTAACCAAGTCAGAGCAGATACCGTGAAAAATTGATAGGGCACAGTGTATGTGCAGCATACAGCATCAGCAAACATACAGCTAATCACTTTTGGCAGATTAATTATTTCTTCTTACTACAAACCAAACAGCTGCTACAAGATTAATTCCACACATCACTGTTAGGGCAGCCTCTGAACCAACACTATTGTTTGCTTTAAGCACTTGTTAAAATATGGTATCAAAATTGTTATAATGAGTTCACACTAACTGGATCTATCAGCCCTACGATGAAGAAATATGAATGAATCAAGATATTGGCAGTGTTGTGTACCATAGATCTCCAGTATTTACACACTCAGGAAAAGCATACTGACACAGTGTTTTATTTTGATCAACAGAGGAAGGTAAGAGGTTTTTTGCAAGACTCCGTTGAATGAGCTAATTGTCACAGGCCAGTCCAAGGTGCTTCATGATAAAAGCCATCACAGCTGAGGACACAAGGCACTACAGACACATGAATGAACATGAATGGGCAAAGGACACTATAGTATTATTTTAGTACTACTGAAGTGCCTCCATGTGTGGGCAGGATGCTCCTGTCTGGGCTGTACCAACTTGAGGAATAAACGTACAGCTTCAGTTTCCATAGCTGTTGTATTTCAGTCTCCCTAGGCAACACTCGATTTGTTTTCTGGAAGACAAGAGGAATCTAAAGTCTCAACTACACACAAAGACAAGAAAAGAACAACTTCTCTGTGTGCATGTGTGCACACATGTGCATACATGCATATGCATGCAGATATATATCTGTGCTCTTTAAGCAGTTCTTTCTTCTTTGTTAGTACCCAATCCAGCAGCATGCCCCTTGTCAGCTCCTCAGTCAGCTCTGTTCGGATGTTATCATCAATACACTCCAGAAGTCTCCTGTATTGGTTAAGCTCTAGATTAGATATGTTCTGTTCTGTTGCACTTCCAGCAAGATACTGGAGTGGTTAAAGTCTCCCATAAGGAGCAGAGCCTCCTAACGTGAAGCTTTTTCCAGTTGTTTCAAAACAACCTCATCTTCTACTTCCTCCTGATCAGGAGATCTATAGCAGACACCCAGCAGAATGTCACCTACGTTGGGCTGGTCTCTAATCCTAACCCATAAACTCTCAACTGTTTTATCATCCGTTCTTAGGCAAAGCAATTCTATAGATCAGGTTAGTTTTTTAAAAGTTTTCCCTTCTGGTATGAAAAACTACAGTAGTTTGAAAAGCCTAGTCTTACCTTTCTAGCTGTGAGGAAGGCAAAATAATGAACCTGATTATTGATTATTTATGTGACTGCCACTGACTGTAAAGCACCAGAGAATAAAAACATGAATATGGCAACTCCTACACTCACTTGGCATTAGTATAAGCTTTAAAATAATTTTAAAATTTAGTCTGAAAGTAGAACAGACCTGAATGCACCCTAAGCAACCATCATTTCTTGCAACAAACTCCCACCTTACACAATATACCAGAAACTACCCACTTCTTCATGCAGTAAACCAAACTGAACTTATAATTGGCCACTTTTCACTATGACAACACACCCATAGAAATAGACAAGACTGATTTTCAAAAGGTCCTAGAACTTTTGCGCAGAATCTAATTCCTGAGGAATGTACTCTGTCCGTGAAGTCAGTGAGATCTGGTAGAAGATTTACTATTTAGGGGAAAGGATTTAGAATCAGTCCTCAAAATAACAGCTACCATCACGATGGTACAGCATCATTATATTCAGAGTGAAGGCTTTAGCAGCAGAGGTCATGAAAGCATGCTTCTATATAAATTTCATCTATCATCCCACTTCACATGTTTACTCTGGATCAGATGACTCCTCTTATTAAAACTTAAAGGATTTCCAAAAATACCTGCAGGAATGATGCAACTAAGTTCTACTGTATTTTCCAAAAGCACAAATAAAGACACATCCAGCTCCAGCTGACCTTCAATGACTGCTACTTCATCATGATATGTACCTTTAAAAATCCTCCAGAGAGTACCAATTTCCCTTTACATTCCTCAGCAAATAATAGATATTAAAAAAAAAAAAAACTACTGAAAAGCATACTCTATACAACATGAGAAAATTCTCTGACTATATATTATGCAAACAAACGCAATATTCTCATAAGCATCTAAACACTTGCCTCTTTCTTACGAAAGCTACGCCAGCCAGCTTACCATCAATCCCCAGAGCTCCCTCCTGCTTGTTCTCCATGCATGGTTCAAACTTGCTGATGATTTCCAGGCAGTGTTCTTTAGTCACATTCGTCATCTGTAAAAGTAGCAAAAATGAAGTGTTAACTAGTAATCACAGCTTCTCTTAGCTCTTTTCTCTGTATACAGTTTAACAGCTGGCCGGAATATCCATAGTGGTACTAAGGATTTCCAGTTACCCAGTGAGATTCTCACTCCTGTCAATCAGTGTCAGGTCAGATAAGAACTAGACTGCTTTGTGAAAAGTTTCTGTCCTATTGGCAGCTGCCTGATCACAGCCAATAAAGACAGAGTTCTGCTTTGTAGGTCAAATCTGGTTAGAGTGTTATTAGGCACACAGAGCATCCAAACAGAAGCAGCTTTGTCACAAACCAATGGCATTTTTTCTCTTGTAGGATTAAAGGATTAGTTTGCATTATCAAAGGTTTTTACTTTAAAATAAAACAAGAAAATGCCTCATCTTTATGCAGCAGACAGAAAAATCAGTTACTAGCAGGGTAACGTAGAATCAGGACATAATGCTCTCAGAAAGCTCCTTGAGGAAATCTGTTAACTTCAAGGTTGCTTTGCATTCTCAACTGAAAAAGGAAAGAGTACAAAGGGAAATACATGTTTGTAAATGTTGTCATTTACAAAGAAAGGGGCATTTATGATAAGCTGTAGCTTTTTTTACCTTGCAATATTTTCATAATTTGATTTTAACACTATTATTTAATAATCCTGCTATTTACTGTAGATTTTTCCTCTAATTACTACCCCTGTTATTATTTAATATTCCTGTCCTGAGTGGTCCAGCAAATCCTTTCCATTAGGTGCTGTACATGACACATGAAAATCAGCTCTTGTCAGCAGAGGGAACTGCCAATAAAGTGACCAAGTTGATGACTGCTTTGGCAACATGGAATCTTTGCTTACAGGGAAAAGAAACCACCAGCCTATCTACTACCAGATCAATGCCTTTTCTGGGGGCAATTTAAAATCTAATAAATAAAAGAAGAGCAAGAAAAAAACCCCTAACCCTTTATTTGCCCATACATTATAGGTTTGCTGGGTTTAAAAGATAACGCTCTGGAACAACAGAAGGTTTTTCTGGTACAGTTTCAAACGCACAGAATGAACACTTGTTTTCCCTGTACAGATTGTATGAGAAAGGGTAGCACCAGGCAAGGGAGAGAAGCCCCACAGGCACGGGTTGTCCACATCAGTGATTAGCTGAGCTGATTTGTGTCCTGTGGCGAGTGTTCATTTTCCTCTCACCATCTGGAGGATCAATTGACCAATGAAATGGAAACATACCCCACTTAACTAAAAAGATAACTGCCAGAGAGATATCTTTTTTTATTCATTCATTTCTTAGACAATGTTTGAAACTGATAGAGATTTATGATTTACGGGCATGCAGCTTCAAAAGAGATCATGAGAGAAAAAGGCAAAGATGGGTCAATGCATTTGTTCCTGCATTGACTGCATCTTGCTATCCAATTATTTTTCCTCACTTCATAATCTTCCACAAGTCTCTAGATGAAAAATCATAGAATCATTCAGGGACCTCAGGAAGTTACCCAGCCCAAAATACTGCTCAAAGCAGCGTCCACTACAAGGTCACATCAGTTAGCTTAGGGTGTTACCTAGTCTGGTCCTCAAAACCTCCAGGGATGGAGGCTGCACAACCTCTCCAGGCAACCTGTTCCAATGGTTGAATGTTGTCATGGTACAGATACTAGATGCCTTGCTGTTTTCTGGTCTGCCAAATTACCATGTACCAGAAAGACTCAAACTTGTTCTGATCAAGGGGTATTTGGGGTAGGAGTAAAAGTGTTAGGCTTCCAGGTAGCTTGGTTACAAAGATTCTTAATGCCATAAAGGTTCAAGTCAGTGACGGAGGAAGCAGATCAGTGGGCAGGAATGTGGTGCACCATACACACAGAGATAAGAAACTTTGGTCTTTTACCATTAGAAAAAAAAGAATATATCAACACTAGTTTCCCTTTTTCATGAAAACATATGTGAACTGTCAGAAAATGGACTTCCGTAACTTCAGTGCGCATAAGTGACTGATGGACAAAATTTCTAATGTGACTGATGTAGGCTAGCCGCCTTGTTAAATACAGTAACACAAGTGGATAGCACTTACTGCAACACAGCACATAGTTTGCTGGTATTTTGCTGAATGTGCATAAACAGCTATAAGCACAATGTATAGGTGCACTTCAATATCTGAATAGCAAAGCTTATAAAGCTGTAAATTAACATCTCTGAAGAGCTGTAAAATGTGTCACACTCATGAACAACAGTAAATATCGAGCTTATCATTATCTACTGGCTGATTCCGCCACCACCCCCGCCCCATATTATTATACAGGGCATATACACATTACGTGGTTTGTCAGAGAAAAATACCTCACCTGTTTCAGCTCAGCAAAATGGGACAATAGTCTTTAAGACCCACCCCAGCATTGGAGTTAAAGCACTAAGAGACAACTTAATATGTACTACTATACATCCTCAAAAAACTTTCCCAGACATTAATAATCCTCTCAACAGCTCTTCAAAAACATAATCTTCCACTTTACAAACTGAGATAGTGTGACAAAGTAATTCAGTGTCTCATCATGGACTATACACTAAGTCAAAAGCAGAGCCAGAAACACCATCTTTGCACCAGGCTACTGAATACTGGGAAAAGACAGATACTGACGGAATTGTCCTAAGAGAACACATGAAAAAGAAAGAAACTGTAGAGGCTTTCTTTAGGGGGACAACGAAAGTCTACAGAAAAAAAGAGGTAGTGAGAGCAAGAAGATTCAAGAAGGAGTCATGCCAGCCTACAAGATGAAAATCAAGAGGCATCTAACTGTCTATTTTTCACATGCATGACAACAAAGTTCCCACCCATTTTAAATGGCAAACAGAAAGGCATGCAGACTGGAAGTCTTTTCCTGGCTTGGGCCTACCTTCTGTTCAATCTCCAGAAAGCGTCTCAGGTCATCTGTATCTAGGTAGTCCTTGTGATTGCTGTAGGTGAGCATTAGCAGGTACAAATCACGTCGTGTTGACATCATCTTATAGAAGGCGCAGAACTCATCAAAGCCCAGCGTGCCCTGGTTATCATCCGTATCAGCCTCCTGCATTACACAATAATAAGGCAATGAGATACCCAGTTGCCCAGCAATAGCCTGAACGAACTTTGAATAAACAAACTCCTGCATAAGAATAAAGCAACACTGAAATTAAATGCAGGTTGACACTGCCTGACATGGCTAGTCACTGTACGGCCTGCTAGAACACATTGATTTATCAGGCTGATGCTTGTCATATGAATGCTTTGCACAGCTTTCCCCTTTGAACCTCTTAAATGTATGCATTAGCGAATCAGCCAAGAAACAACTTTTAAGGTCTTTATTGTTCCACAGGGAACCCTGCTTGAAGGATTTCTTCTGTCTATGGCAGTGAAGTAAGACAGCGTACCCTGCAACATAGAACAGAACATGCATATGTCTGGCAGAATTACCCATTCATATTTTCTTGAGAAGGTCATTAGAACCCAAGTCATCTTGAAATTAATTTTATATCTAGGATTTGGGAGGATATCTGTTAAATCCACAGCCATAAGCTAGTAAGATCTGCAAGAATAATAATTTTGCAAGTAAAAAAAAAATCATCAGTAAATGACACTATATTGTCTGGTATATCTATCGCCTACAATATATATATATTTCTTGGTTCCTTTTTGGGGTCAGGTGCCCCAGCCTGTGATCCAAACCATGCTCGGTTGCATCAGCAACACTACTTACTGTTTGCACACAGTGGAGATAGAATTTCTTCAAAGAAATCTTGTGAGAGTCTGATCACAATGGCATCCACCCAATGATAGAACTATTTGAAGGAGAGATTATGGAATTACTGTGTTTCCTAAAAGCCTTTTCCAAGAAGCATGAAAAAATGAATGAGAAATTCTGCCACGGGAAAGTATGAAGAAGGAAAGCTGCAATGTTTCCCAAACAGGATAGACAACACTTGCGTATTTTATGAAAAGAAGCTTATCCAGCACTCCCTACTTTGTTCTCAATAAAGGAGTTATCAGCATATTGCTTTACTCACGTTCACTGTAGACATGTTTAAGGACATTTCAAGCCACAAAATTAAAAAATAAATAAATGAGGCAGGTTTTTACCAAACCTTCATATTTTCCACTGAATTTCCTTCACATACTGTCACACATGCACTTGTATCAGTTGAGGAAAGCACTGATAATAAGCTCTCACAACCACGGACAGCAGCACTGAGCAGCCTTCACAAAGCACTTCTGTCCTGGCAAGCTGACATCAATTCACAGTTATTTGCCCAAGAACAAAGTACTGCCATGACCCTGCAATTTATTCTAACGTACCCACAGAGATTTTTAAAAACTTACACAAACAGCCTACTCTTTCCTTGTTCCCAAAGGACACCCTGCACTTGTTCCCTACTCTTTAATCTTGATAGACCTCGCTATTTTGTCTCTTGTCCAGTCTCACACTTCAGCAGTTTCGGAGCCTGTACCAGCTACAACATTGAAGCTGACAGTACTATGGAGGAAGTGACTGGAAGAATGAGAAGTCATAGATGAAGCTTCTTTAGAACTGAGCCCCAGGTGAAAATACGAATGCATTTGTGAACAACAAGTAGCTAATAAAAATGGCTTTTGCCATTTTAACTATGGCAAGATTTTTTTAAACAACTCACTACTACTTTTTTAACTAGAAAAATTAATATTAAAGGTAACTTTCTTTCAGACCTACATGTAATCTACCATATTATATCTTAAAATACTTGGTGTAATTATTTCATTAACCAAGAGATTTGATTTTTAATTTCAAGGCTGCTTAATATTCTGATTCTAAGCTATCAAATAGCAATTATATTTTCAGCTGAGACCAGCTCAGTTTCAATTATGCATTGCATGTGGAAAAAGCAAACCTATTCTTCTTTGTTAATAGCATTTCTAAAGCACCCGATATGTGTAGTAATTGTCATTGATTACAAACAATAAAACCAGAACACAGCATACAAGCAGCACAAATTTTTTCCCAGGAGAGTTTTGCCCAGTCTCTTCTATTTGGCTTGCATCAAACCTAATGGTTCATCTTGGAAAGGGAGTCAGTAATCTACTAATTTTAATGAGTTTTTAAATTCAGTTCTTCACCGAGCTACATCCGTAAACCTAGTGTTTGCTGGTGTGAAAGAAAAAAACTGAAGAAAAAAAAGTAACGGGTAAAACCCCTTGGTTTTCTCTGGCTGTACATGCATGATTCTCAAAGGCTTTTGAGCCTGGAACGTGTCCAGAACTGAATTTTTGAGAATCCTATTGAAAAGGCTAGCATGACTTTCCAGTAAACTTGAAGCAGTGCTTGAACAGCTGCCATTCCAACTGTGAGATTTTCAGGCACCTAAATGTACATTATGTTTCTGAAGGTACATACATACTCTGTCCAGACATTGCATAAGAAAAAGTAAAATAGCTGAAAAGTCCTCACCTCCAATACTCTCATAAGGTACAGGCTGCGCCCTAGAGGTAACAATTTTCTGTATGGAAACAATCAGGGACTAACACAGTAGCCCATACTCTTGCAGAAATACTATTACAAGCATTCCTCCCAATGGCCAGTACTTTTGGAATTCAAAGAACTTTCAGTTGGCAGAAGACATCTCTTTTGCACAAACTGCTGTTTAATGCAATAGCCTCACGTAAAATTTTTTAGGGTCATAACCATACAGGTCTTAATCCATCAATTGGATAATTTATCACCTGCAGAAATGAAAGACACAAACTGACTTCTTTTCTTCCCCAAACAAAAGCAAAGGCAAAGGAGAGGGTATTTGCAAGTTCCTGGTGACTAGCATTTCATTCCATTTAAAAATTTCTTTTTCTATTTGGACATGTATATGGTGTTATAATGCAATAGTGTACAACAGCATGGACAAATCTACTTTCAAAATTCATTCTGGTCCACATAAATTTTATGCAACAGAAACAGAAAATGGTAATCAAAACAAGGGCTGGCATAGTAAGAGCAGCCTGAGAGAAATGAGCACCCAGCTTCCTGGGGCATCTGTGTGTTATGAAGCTTTTCTTTCTCTTTTATTCAGTAACATACAGAAAAAATGCTCAAGTATTTAAACTCTACTTCTAAACTTCTGTTTAAATTTCCCCCTAGCTGCAGACTCTTTTTCTGCAGGACCTTCTGTTCCTAAAGAACAACTCACCCAAATGATGGGCAAAATATTCGCCTGATGCATACACTAGGATAACCTGTATCAGCTGATTACTGGAAACTTTCCAATCGCCTTTCCTTCCTTCCCCATAACCTTGAGTTGCTGTGGTTTGCAAAGTTATCCTGTTCTCCATGCTCCATTTGAGCATCTTTTACCATTTTGGACCCACAAAGGAATTTACATTGCACATAGGATGCAACCAAGCAGGCTTCAGCATCAGCTGTCAGCAGGATGAGAGAAAGAGCAGAAAGAGATGTAAGTTAAAAATGTTTTCAACCCAGAGGCATTAGAATAAATACATACAGCCATGGAAGAGAAGGAACATTTCAAGGCCCATTTTTTCTCCAATCAAATTAGTCAGAAGATTTCCAAGTTACACTCTTTCCCAAAATTATTCTCTAACACTCATTTCTTCTGCTAGAGATAAAAGGCCATAATCAGAGGCCATAAAGTCAGTCTATAAAGACTGTCCATGGCAAAATGCAGTGGCTACATTGGTTTCTAACCAATGAAAGAGATCATTTTGCCTTCTTTCTTTTCTCAGTAATAAGTTAAAGGAATGACAGCTTCACATCCAGACTGAATACAAAACCACCCATTCAATTGTACACATTCACTCGTTCAGTTTCACGTTAAAATACTTAACTTATCAAAAGTCATGCTGACTGCCACTATTCTTAACTTCTCCTTGATCCCCCACAAAACTACCCATACTGTGCATGTTTCCATGAGGTCTGCACGTAGGACTCAGTGAGCTATGCAACATTATGGCAGTTTATTAAGGAACAAGAGCCGGCATAATAAAATTTATTTGCACAAGATTTATTAATCGTATCATAAAGCCCCAGTTGACTGTTTCTCTTTATTTTTTACTGTTCTTTAGCAATGGAACAATTCTATAACTAGTGGCTGTTGTCAGCGAAAGTGCTTTTCATTCAAGGTTCTTAACACCATCTAAACCTTGAAGCTTAGGTTTTACACTTCTTACCATCTCTCTCTCTATGGATCAATTTCACACACAGGTAGGTAATTCTCTAAGGAATACTAAATTCAGAATAATGGAACAGAGCCCTCCTAAATGATAAACAGAGCCTAATTTTTACATCTTAGCAGATATCATGTCAAAATGAGAGCATTCACTCACTAGCATGAATCAGTAAAATGATTCCAAAGACTCTCATATGATTTCAGGTTTCTATTTCATAGGACTGAAGTATTCTAATGTTCTTGTCCTAGTGCACTGAAAGAAAGATTAAAAATAAAAAAGGAATTTTTACACTTCAGCAATACCAAAAGGACTACTTGTTTCAAAGTGGTCTTCTACCCACACAGCAACAGGAAAAAATATATGCCCAGGCAGTCTCATTCCATAAGTATTTCATCAAACCAGGAAAAATCACCCAAAAAAAAAGAAGAAAAGCTTCAGAAAATGAAGACATGAACTTTAAGAAATCTTTAAACAGCCTTAAATTGATTGCAAACTGCCCAGGAGTTGTACAACCTCAGAAGATGCTTAGAATAAAAGATGGCTCAGTCTTCAAGCACCAACAGAGAACAGAATTACCTTTGCCTTGCCACAGATCTTTGTGTGACCTTAGGCAATTCACTTATTCCTGCTTCAGTTTTGCGAAATCAGGCTTAGAATATTTCTCCACCTTAAGTTAGGCAAAACTTAAGTATTCAGCTATACACAATGCCTTGGACAGATTCAGACTGACTAGAAAGTCATCAGTAGATAGGTATTTGATCCCTTTCAGTGCTACTGAAATTCCAGTATTTAGTTTTCTCTGAAATGATCTCTCACAGCCTCTCCAAGAGAACATTCTTTAAAATACCAGCGCTGCTGGAAAATTATGCTGAGGTGTCCCTGACTCCATGTAGGGCAAAAGTCATAGCAGTTCACTATGCTGAAAACTATTGATTCAACTTCTGCTTAGGTCCTTCACACAACAGACTTTCTAATTACAAAAGCATACACATCTCCATAGTTCAGTTGCCCAGTAAATTGGGTCAAGGTCAGCAGAATGCAATGTCAAACAAATACTCTTAGCAATGCAAAAAACCTGACAGATATGGAATTTTGCATACTGGATATTTTATTAGTACTGGAGGATATTGGATACTTTACTAGATACTATTTATTAGAGAGAATGTAATCAGAGGAGGAAATGTGACTGAGCTTCAAATCAACAAGTATAGCAAAAAAGCAATCTCTGTACTGTGTGTCTTTATGTTATGTAACACCAGGAGGTACCTGGTGTAATGCCTTTTTCTATGAATAACTATTTATGATGTGTTTCTGGAGCTCTTTTTCAATTTATGAAATGGACTGTGTAGTATCTCTCAGTAGAGTGGAAACAAACCAGATGATGAAGTATTTACAATCTCTCCTACTAGGTTTCACGTTAAATCTCCAGCAGCTGAATCCTTGTTCTTTTAGAAGAAAACACATTTAAATTTCTTACCTTAAACATTTGCTTGACTTTTTGTCGGGGTAGGTTCACATTCAGTTTGTGCATTAGCTGGAGCACTTCACTAATACTCAGACTGCCATCACCATTTTTATCTGCCTCATCAAATGTCTGCTTCAACCACATTGAACAGGAGTTAAGGAACAGCATGGAATATTAAGGGATATTACTGAGTATTTTATATATATATGATTTTTTTTCATGTTAGACTGTATATGAGACCGAGGATGAAAGAAAGTTCAAGGTATAACTCATGTTATTTCAGTTAACAGTTTCTAGACTTGCTGTGCTCAATATGCAACACATGCTATTTACCCATACTACAACACAGAAGAACTAACTTCTGAGCAAATTTCAGTGTTGCATCACACTTCGTCCCATATAACCAAATGAAATGGACAGCTTTACACAGAAAGTAACAGATGAAAGAACATACCTGTATGTTTTTCAGTCCACTCTTCATTCATCTCCAAATCTTGCCCAGAACAATCCTCTTCAAGGACTCCTCTGTCTCTGGAAACAGGGAATACAATGGGAACCTCTTTGAAGCTTTAAGCCTAGTGCTTTTTTTAGCAAAACAAATACTTAAAGGAATCCCTATGCTATGATAGCTCTCCACCACTGGAAAATACTCTCAGATAGTCTAAGAAGGATATTGGTCTCTGGTCCTTTGGCGTTTTGAGAGGCTGTCTTCATCACTGATCCCTGCCATCAGATATTTTAGCCCTGTGATCCAGGTGCGTGCTTCCTCTCCACTGGAAGATACCAGGTCAAGAGATTCCATATGGTCTCCATAGTAGATGCTGAAGCAGCAGTTGGGATCAAAACTGCCATCAGCATAGCGCTGAAAGATCTCTGATTGCTTCCCCTCGCAAACTTCCTGAATAGAGTCGATAGAAACTAGAATGACAAAAGCATGTAGTTCATTAATGACTGTGTGCATGCCCTTGGCCAGACAAGATGCATTTATTCTGTAGAGAAATCCTGTAGAGAAAGGGCTCAAAGCTCACATTGCAAGGTCCCCAGTTCACACAGGTTTTGCCTGCAACTCATTTACAACATACTACAGTACTGCAACCTGCAAGGCTAACAAGAGCAACTTAATCTTCATAAACTATTAATCATAAAATAATTTACTGCCCTTTAAATTCAAGCACAACATTCTTCTTGATCACCCGTGAATGAGCCAAATCCTTCATTTTTGTTTGTTCATAAGAAGGCAAGACCCTAGGAGGAATCAGAAGAAAGGTTCTGTGGTTGACACTCACTTTTGGCTTTCTCATTCTTTCGAGAGGGTCTCCAACGAATACACGACTTGTGCTCGTCCAAGTAATAGAAGCGGACCAACCCTTTGGAACTGCCACGGAGTTTGATCATTTGGGTACCAGTTTGCATGGAACTCATACATCTTTCCACTGAAGAGAGAAATAAAGTGATACCAGTAAGTCAGACTTCACTCCCTTTAAAATCACCTTTACAGGAAGAAAACATATCAAGCAGCTACCAAACTAACAGTTCAAGTCAAAGGACAAGATTTCCTGTACAGTCTAATATATGAGGTCAGATTATATGATCAAAAAGTCAGAAAGATTCTTGGCAACTGTGGACTTACCTGTAAATGTGAAAGTTTTCATTGCCCTATTAACAGGTATGAAACATACATATGTTAGAATTGGTGTAAGGTACATACCCTGCTTAAGACCATCTTGAATGCTTAATTCAAGCTCCTACAATATGTAAAATTTGTGCCGCGCACAGTATGAAATTTCACCTGGAAGTTTGGATCCTTGGCCAGCAAAAACTAGCACAGTTCCACCCCATGTCAGGAAAGTTATTTTCATTATACCTCACGTTTTTGCCTCTTAAGCATACAGTAACCTTGTGGCATAACTTCAACGAGTTTCTTTTCACGTTCCTCTCTGTAAATTCTGGAGTTCCTGTCAGCAGTATCACTGTTTAGAAGTACCATGGCTTCTTATGAAGCAGTTTAGTTTGCATTCTGTCTATTCAGAATTCAATTAAAAAAAAAAAATTATTACCCAACTTGGTCATCAAAAGTATTCTAGGAACCCTAAAAATTCAAAAGCTTTTATGTACAAATGACTTAAGAGTTAAACTATTTTCACTGCCTTAAAAATTAACAGCAAGAAGGTGATTAGAATCCAGTGTGTGACTGCAAAGATGAGGCCAGCTTCAAAGGCTACATTCTTATAAAGAGGTCTACAGTCAGGGTCAACAACAGAGTAATTGTATCCTACACCGGTCAGGGAAATGTATAACCAGGCAAAAATCCTAACAAGTAGAGGGTGGCATTATTTTGATTTGCCTTCTCTAATATAAATAATATTTTGCTGTCCTTAAAAAGATTCCAGAATTTTCTTCCTGGGGAGAAGCTGAAAGAACAATACTGAACAGATATTCTTTGCACTGATCAATGTTTTGTGTAAGGCGCTCAGATACTACAGGGATAAGTATGAATAAAAAGCTATCAGTATTTTTTTTTCTATCCTATAACATATATTTTGAGTAAATCCTCACATTTACATTAAAGTGGATCCAAAATATCAATTAAATATTGTTCTTTATGACTGAGTTAGAAAAAACATTGAATGCTAACTAAGTTGGATTTGTAGCCCATAGTCTGGTGCTATGGAAGAGCTGTAATTTTCTCATAAGCGCCTTAAGTTCAGAAGCTCAGTTCTACAAATATTTACCCAGATAAGCTGCTCCCAGTGTGTGAACAATCCTAATAAGCAAACTCAGAAAAACACCTCTCCCTATTAATGCAATTACAAGATTAGGACCTAAAATGCCTAGTGAATCTATATAATTATATTTTAGTATTCAGTCCTAATTCATAAACATTTAGCCACCATTTGCCAATACCCATGACTGATGAAACACAAAGCACATTCAAAACACGCTAACAAGCAGAGTATAATAGAACTACTAGCAGCACACTTATTTGGGGGGATTTAGAGGAACTACTAATATTTACCTTCTGATCACACTCTAAATCAAACTACTATAAGTATCAGTTTCTAGAATAAGCACAAGGAGATTCAGACAATATTCCTAACTTGCTTGTTAACACCAAGGTATCACAGTACGTCTGCAAAAAGGAAACCAGATTTGTAACGGAAATGTTTGATCTTTCACAAGAGAAAGAGTCTGAGGCAAAGCTAAACTGAATTTATCAGCAACGTTATTCTGAAGCTCCTTTAGCAAAAATACAGCATTTTTAGAGTAACAGAACAACACTAGGACTTCTGCAGACCATGAAAAAGCTTTATAGCCCAAAAGTTTACTTCCTGCCGAAAGCAAGAATGCCCATTTTCATTACATACAGAGCCATCACAAAGGCATTGCATGTCTGCTGTTTACATCACACTTTTACTTGCCATCCAGGCCAAAGAAAATAGTAAACTCTGGAAATAGTACTTTTAGAAAGTTGAGATGGAGTATCAGCTTTGCCTCCCATTGCTTCTATGGATTAAGTCACTGATCCTACAAATTTGCTTCCAGATGTTGTGGCAAAAATCTAACAGACTGTTCTTCTTCCAAATCACTTAAAGTCACATTCTCCTAGGAGGAGGCCTTTCACCTATACTGTACTTTGTCTCTGGGCACTTAAAACACGTTCCCCTCCCGGGGATTTGGCAGCATTACAGACAGTGCAGCCAGCGGCCTTCAAAGAAGCAAGTCTTAGAAGAAGCTCCCTCAAAGAGCTTTGCTCTCTCTCAGCAGGGCTCCTCCTCTTTCCTTGGGAACTGCTGTTAAGCTGAGGCTCTTGCATGCAAAGCCCCTGGAAGCAAGGTTGGGGCCATGCCCATGCCTGCCCAAAGAGGAGGCATTCTTTTGAAATTCAGCTGTTGCAAGGAGCTAAGCTAGACAACATTAATGCAAACTGTTAGCAACTGGCTGTGTCCCAGGAATGAATGCAGAATCTCGTATTTTCTGCCAGGTCGCCCATTTATTTCCCATAATGACAGAGCATAGCCTGTGACTTAATTTTCTTGTGGCTTTTCTGCCCGGTCTAAGTAAAATTAAAACTATTACCATGTCCAATGTATTTATGTATTTTTTTCAGACCTAGAGATGAGAAGTGTAAATTACTACTCAGATTCTGGATGGAAGAATGAAAACCAATACATAAAATACATGTTCTACTAAGTACAGATTTATAAATAAATACAAGCAAATTCTGAGGTCAGGCTCCTCTTATCAATCTGTACATACAGATTACAGATGAAACACTGTCCAAACTAAAACACTCGTTCCATGTATTCTAAAAGTGCATCAAAACCAACACAATTCTTTGCAGTGATTCAAGCCTACCTCTTGGGCAAAGGCAAAAACACCCAAGAGAAGCAAGGCAGAGTAAAAAGGAATGGAAAAAATCATTAATGTTCCTGTGCTTTAGAGCTTATATTCAGCCAAATTCAGTTAATTTACTCCGGAAAAGAAGGTTCAACAAAAGGTTAATTTGAAAGCAAATCATTAATAGTAAAAGAAAATTTAAATTTAAAGCTACAATTCTGTAGAGTACATTGTTTATGTTAATAAAATATTTACAGAGAGAAGGTGTTAAATTGAGAACAAAATAATCCCTCATGTAACATTCTATTTCTTAAAGCTGGTCCTTTGGCTTCAATCACAGATGCCCCTAGATTAAATCAATGTGGTCAGCAGGTATCAGTCATAAAAGCAAATGCTGTGCTACAGTTCAGAAGCATTACTGGAATTCACTACATCAGATCCAAAGTGGATTCAAACTCGGCTTGACCATTTCCCAGACACTGCAATCTTTTCAATATCTGCTTTCATTCCAGTTCAGCAGAAAGATAAATACTTCTCAAATTTACTGTGAGTTAATAATTATGGAAAGCTTGAACTTATTTTAATTTCACAAGGTCTATAGTTTTTTGAAAAAAAAAAAAAATTTTTTTTGGTCAAAATAGTTAATGAAATTTCTATTAGCCCTAATTACACAGACTTCAAATCACATTAAATTTCCAGCTTCCTCTTCAGAAGTTATTGTAGTAAATAATTTTATTTGAAGAAATGAGAAGAGCAGAAATGGGAGAAGTATCAAAAGAACACACCTGTTACAAAGCAGAAAATAATAAAGAAGCGCCAAAATAAAAGTACACTTTATACAACGTGCATTTACTTTGCTTTTACGTGAAGCAAGAACATACTCCTAGTCTGTTAAAATTTTAATAAGCATCCTTGGATAGCTCTTTTAATGCAGCTGTTCATTTCTGCTGCAGAATTACTCACCCAAACCCTACCCAGTACCTCAGCAGCTGCCCTGCTGCCAGTTCCAGCTGATCTGTACACTGGACTGTTCTTTGGTGATTCAATGCACAATTCCAATTAATGTTTGAGGACACAAACTTGAGTTCAGTTCTATTCAGCGTACCTGCCAAGTGAATGGTCAGACCATACCAAATACTTGTTTTAAGTATATTTTTAGTTTTGGTGACACAAGGAAAGGAAAGCACAAGAAATGTCTTCCTCCTCCTGTCAGGAGAACAACAGCAGCTTGTCTGGATCCTACCAACATGACAGGAAGGAAAACCTTTCATGTAGTGCAGAGGTGTTAGCTAGGGGTAGCTAGACAACAACCAGGAGATTGAGATGGAAAGGGGAAACAGTGCATGTCCACACCTCTACATATGTATGTGCACTGAAATATACACCCTTACCTGTCTACATGACTGAAAGTTTAGACCCCTAGAGAGACTGGCAGAAAAATTTGTGGGTGAGGAGGAATCATAGTGGTACTTATATCAAAGAAAAAATAAGATATTTTTTCTGAAATCTTTCACAGCATGTAAATGAGAATAGCACACTGATAAGAAGACAAGTATAACTGCTTCTCCTTACCATTGTTCAGATACCTTCTTTAAGGATTCATTTCTATACTTCAAATAAAAATTCCTCAGTCTTGAAATGAAACATATTTTGGAAGAAATAGCTCCTAACTATCTTCAAAGGCTGAAGTTTTCTTCTTGGTTAAATAATATTTTGTACCTCAGTAGTACCTTTGTGCAGAATTCAGTTGAGGTTCAGCTCTCTTTTGATCTAACGAGTTGCCTCAATTTGCATCTGGACAAAATACAGTCATGGAAAAATGGATCTCTACTGCAGCAAAAAGCACTGTCGTAGCGGAGCAGGAAACAGAAACATAGAACACTTAGTTCCATTCTTGTGTTCTTACAAAGTGACACTAGACTGATGCAGCAAAAAGACTCAAAGTGATTTTTCATAGTTAATAGTAACATTTATAGTTACCATAAAAAGTTTTAAAGTAACAATAAAAAACAAAACTACAGAAATCATAAATCCCTACAATTTGTCCTGATACAACAAAATAAAAACAGAGCCCAATATCATGCTTATTGTTAGA